AGAATTAATGCAGTTTGCTACCACTTTAATTGTCAATGATGTGGACTCATGGAAGCAGTAGCTTTCCAAAGTCTTTCACCTTTTTGCCAAAAAGTGCTGGTGCCTCACCAAGTCCCATAGTATTGACAATTAAAGTGGTTTCAAACTGCATTACTTCTATAGTACAGCTGCATCCCTAGCAGATGTGAGAAAGTTTTGTTCCAACTAACACAGAAAATGATTACTAATAGAGAGGACAGGCTCCTGCAACAAATGAGTGTATTAATTCCTCTCCCCTCCGTGCTCCATTAGTGAAAAAACTGCATCACACATAAAATGTCCTTGGAATGGATTAACTGCTTGCTAACTTTCAAAGCAAGGTGGAATTTCCTCCTGCATTAGCACAGCTGTTTGCCTCCAAATGTTTAATATCCCTACAGCTGGTTTACTTGTTTAATGTTACCATATGGAATTCAACCCTTAATGGTCAGAGGATTGGATCTCACACCCTGCATAGTTCTTTTTTGTGCAAAACAACACCAAACACTATGCTTCAATATTGGTTTTTAAACTATGTTTTTAAGAACATGCAGTCCAATTAAATAACAACTCAGTTTTAGAGCTTGTTTAGTGCTGCCTTTAATGAGCTGTTAGATTTTAATGATTTGTTAGATGTCTTGTTTGCCGAAACTGCCAGGAGAAGAAATACTCCTGGGAGAGAATCACCCAAAGTCCCTTCTGCCCAAGAGACTCCATTTGGAAGGCTTAACACCCTTCGTGTTTGATAAAAGTTTTTGTTTTCATTGTGTGCAAAAGTACCAGCAACTTGTCACCATTGGCAAGTTAACTACTCCTTGGGTTGCTGTGAGTTTTCTAGAATGTATGGCAATGTTCCAGAAGCATTCTCTCCTGATGTTTTGTCCAGAATGCTTCTGGAACATGGCCATACAGCCCAGAAAACTCACAGCAGCCCAGTGATTCCAGCCCTAAAAGCCTTCGACAACATAACTACACCTTGTATTGTCGAAGGCTATCATAGCCAGAATCACTGGGTTGTTGTAGGTTTTTTCGGGCTATATGACCATGTTCTAAAGGCATTTTCTCCTGACATTTCGCCTGCATCTATGGCAAGCATCCTCAGAGGTAGTGAGGTCTGTTGGAACTAGGAAAATGGGTTTATATATCTGTGGAATGACCAGGGTGGGACAAAGAACTCTTGTCTGATGGAGCTAGGTGTGAATGTTTCAGCTGACCACCTTGATTAGCATTTGATGGCCTGGCAGTTGTTTGGTGTGGCTTGCTGGTGCCTGGGGCAATCTTTTGTTGAGAGGTGATTAGATGTGCCTGATTGTTTCCTCTCTGTTGTTTTGCTGTTGTAATTTTAGAGTTTTTTTAATACTGGTAGCCAGATTTTGTTCATTTTCATGGTTCCACTCCAACAACCACCATGTCAGACTACACAGAGAAGCCATTGAAATCCACAAGCATGTGGACAATTTCAACAGAAAGGAGGAAACCATGAAAATGAACAAAATCTGGCTACCAGTATTAAAAAACTCTAAAATTACAACAGCAAAACAACAGAGAGGAAACAATCAGGCACATCTAATCACCTCTCAACAAAAGATTGCCCCAGGCACCAACAAGCCACACCAAACAACTGCCAGGCCATCAAATGCTAATCAAGGTGGTCAGCTGAAACATTCACACCTAGCTCCAGCAGACAAGAGTTCTTTGTCCCACCCTGGTCATTCCACAGATATATAAACCCTTTTGCCTAGTTCCAACAGACCTCACTACCTCTGAGGATGCTTGCCATAGATGCAGGCGAAACGTCAGGAGAGAATGCCTCTAGAACATGGCCATATAGCCCGAAAAAACCTACAATAACTACACCTTACTTCTCATTACAATTGTGTGTATTTAAAAAAAAAACAAAACAGGGAAATTACTTTTTTCAGAAACAAAGTTCCCATACTTGTGTCAAGTTTTTCTCTGAACCACAGCCACAGACATTACAAAATAACTTTTCCTAGTTCAGCTGTGTTGAAGGCTCTCTCGGGGCCCTTCCACACAGCCTTACATCTCAGAATATCAAGGCAGTGGAATTTACTGCCTTGATATTCTAGGGATATAGGGCTGTGTGGAAGGGCCCTTGATTCTTGCAAGAATCCTTGCAAATCGCCTTCTGCCCCTCTCAGAAGACACCCTCCCAGAATCCCAGAACGGCTTCCGCCCTTCCAGAGAAACCGTGGACATGACCTTCACTGCACGACAGCTCCAAGAGAAATCCAGGGAACAAAATCAACCTCTGTACATGGCATTCATTGACCTTGCAAAGGCATTCTGCAATGCTCTCTACGTGGGGTTGCCTTTGAAGACGGCTCGGAAGCTTCAACTAGTCCAACGCTCAGCAGCCATGATTCTAACAGGAGCGGAGCGCAGGGAGCATACAACCCCCCTGTTGCGCCAACTCCACTGGCTACCGATTTGCTACCGGGCTCAATTCAAAGTGCTGGCGTTGGCCTTTAAAGCCCTAAACGGTTCCGGCCCAAGCTACCTATCTGACCGCATCTCTGCCTATGAACCCACCAGGACTTTGAGATCTTCCGGGGAGACCCTGCTCTCGATCCCGCCTGCTTCTCAAGCTCGGCTGGCGGGGACGAGAGATAGGGCCTTCTCGGTGGTGGCTCCTCGGCTGTGGAACGCCCTTCCTACGGACATTAGACTAGCACCATCTCTAATGGTATTCCGCAAAAAAGTGAAGACCTGGCTGTTCGAGCAGGCGTTCGAATAATTAGTGCAATGATTGGTTAATGAACACTGGAATGGAACAATGGATGACGAATCTGGAACATGTTTTTGATGATGAGACGACAGTGAATGGGTATTGTAGTAACTGTTTATTAATTGTGTAATGTGTTAGGTTGTTAACTGTTTCTATACTGTAGCACTGAATTTTTGCTGTTTGTATTTGTTGTGAACCGCTGTGAGTCGCCTTCGGGCTGAGAACAGTGGTATATAAGTAAGGTAAATAAATAAATAAATAAATAATTCGACACTGAATCTCAGCGCTCTCTGTACCATCCTCCAAAAAATCGGGTGCCTTGACAAATTTGTGAATATCCTGTGGCTCCTCCATGATGACATGATGGCAACAGTCCTGGACAGCAATGGCTCCTAAAGTGACCCATTTAAGGTGGAATCAGGTGTCAAACAGGGATGTGTTATTACCCCAACTTTATTCTCCATCTTCATCGCTATGATACTTCATCTTGTTGAGGGGAAGCTTCCCACCAGAGTGGAAACCATCTATCGGACAGATGGCAAGCTGTTCAACCAAGGTTACAACAACATCTGTTATAGAACTCCAGTATGCTGATGACCACGTCGTATGTGTGCATTCAGAATAAGACCTACAAGTCACTCTAAACACCTTCGAAGCATATGAGAAGCTCGGCCTGTCATTGAACATTGAGAAAACCAAAGTACTCTTTCAGCAGCCACCAGCCAATCCCTCTCCAATACAGCTTAACGGTGTAACATCAGAAAATGTGGACCATTTCCAATATCTTGGCAGCCACCACAAAAGGGAACATTGACACTGAAATACAACACTGCCTGAGCTCTGCAAGTGCAGCATTTTTCCAAATGAAGCAGAGGGTGTTTGAGGACCAGGATATCCATAGGGAGACCAAGGTGCTTGTCTATAAAGCTATTGTCCTCCCAATCCTGCTATACACCTGTGAAACGTGGACTGTCTTCAGACGTCACATGCAGTTCCTAGAATGGTTCCATCAGGATTCCACATGACTGCATGGAGTGCCGTTACCTTCCAGTCGGGGTGATGTCTATTGATCTATTCACATTTGCATATTTTTGAACTGCTAGGTTGGCAGAACCTGGAGCTAACAGTGGGAACTCACTCCGCTCCCCAGATTCAAACCGCCGACCTTTTGGTCAGCAAGTTAAGCAGTTCAGTAGTTTCCCCTGACATTAAGTCTTGTTGTGTCCATCACGGGGGGGAGGGGGGTGCTCATCTCCATTTCTAAGTGGAAGAGCCAGAATTATCCGTAGACACCTGCAAGGTCATGTGGCCGGCATGACTGCATGGTAGATTCTAAAGATACATGAAAACAATACTTTGAGAAAAGTATGCTTTGCTCCAGCAGTTCTGAAGTGTTCACCCAAAACTTAAGGGAACTTTGGTTTCAAAAATAATGTAAAAGTTCTGACAACATTTTTGGCAATAATTCAAGAGATGGTAAAACCATAGTGGCCAATCACTAGTCTTACACCAACTGTAAAGGTAAAGGTTTCACCTAGACATTAAGTCTAGTCGTGTTCAACTCTGGGGGTGGTGCTCACTCATCTCAATTTCTAAGAACTGGTGTTGTCCATAGACACCTCCAAGGTCATGTGGCCGCATGACTGCATGGAGCAGTTACCATCCCACTGAAGCTGTACCTATTGATCAACTCACATTTGCATGTTTGCGGACTGCTAGGTTGGCAGAACCTGAAGCTAACAGCGGGAGCTCACCCCGTTCCCCGGATTCGAACCGCCGACCTTTCAGTCAGCAAGTTCAGTTCAGCGATTTAACTTGCTGCGCCACGGGGGCTCCTGATGATGCTTATTATTATTTAAATAGATATTATGTAAATGTTTATAATATTATTATAAATAATATAATATAAATATAATTTAAATAAAGTATTATTATTATACAACATAGAATCATAGCAATGATTGAATTCTACAGTGGAGAGGCACTCACATATTGTCATCTAGTCTGGCATGGGAGGAGTTTGATGTGACTGACACACCATGAATGGTATCACATTGGGTGGCATAAATCCTAGGGACGCCACATCTTTTTCTATCTCTTTGGAAGAATTAAAGATTCCTTTGATCACAATGGAGAATGGTGCTTATGAATGGGGCTGAGCTCCCACACCCAGTTTGGCCGCGCCTCGTAGTGCGCCTGCGCGGGGGGAATGGAATCCTCAGCGAAGGGGGCGTGGTCAGGCGAGGCGCTCCTTATAAATAGCCAGGGCGTGGAGCTGGCCCACCCACTTCCACCTGCAAACGCGAGTGTTGTGATTTGTAGCTGAATCGGGGTGAAAACTGAGACAGAGCCGCCATGCGGGAGATTGTACACATCCAAGCCGGCCAGTGCGGGAACCAGATTGGAGCCAAGGTACCAAAAGGGAAAAAAACACGCGTGGAAAAACAGCCACGGGTGGAAGAGAGCCGCTTCTATTGTTGAGCACTGGTGGGCGTGGGGAACTAGCAACATCCTCCATTTTCCAAGGCTGGAGATAAGACACACCTGATTTCTAACAAAGCGTGGGAAAGCGTTGCCCCACGATCACGCGTGTCTTTGTATCCTTTAGTGGAATTTCCTTTTCTTCCATAGCTTTGTACAATTACAGTTAGGGCCTCCTTCGAGCTCCTCTTTGAGAGTCACCAAGTCATGGTGATGTGTGTCTTTCCTCCTCTCCCTGGGTCCTCCCCCACAAATATCCCTTTTTTCATTGCTATCTCATCCAGAGTTTTATCATTTTATGTCGTGCATTAAAATAAGGTGTTTACACCTTATTTTATTTTTCTGGTTATTTAATATTTAATGTTTATTTTACTTAAGTGATATTTGTCTTGACTGTTCTAATGTAGCACAAATCCTATGTAAAATCATGCTACGTATTTTTGACATTAATATTGAAATCTGAAATATATACAGAAAGTCTTTAATAAGGTGTGTTTGATTTTCCATTATGTTATTTTGCACTGTTTATTTTACCTATTATTTTGTTGTTTATATTTTATTTTGCTGTGATGAATTGCTGGGTTTGGCTTCGAGTCTCCTTTGGGGAGATGGTGGTGGGGTATAAATAAAGATTATTATTATTATTATTATTATTATTATTATTATTATGGGTTAAACCCTTGTGCTGGCAGGACAGACAGGTCGCAGGTTCAAATCTAGGGAGAGCATGGTTGAGCTCCCTCTGTCAGCTCCAGCTCCCCGTGCGGGGACATGAGAGAAGCCTCCCATTCCAGTTCAAAGCAGGTAATGTGGGATTTTATTCAGCTGCATGGAAGGGGCCAGAGATAGATGAATAGATAAGCTAGCCTTGCACTGACTTTCCACCCTTTGAACTGGGTTATCTGAGTCCACACTCAGATAATGTGGGATTGTCCGCCTTGATATTCTGGGCTAGAGCTTTATGGAAGGGCCCTCAGTGGCTAAATCAATAATAATAATAATAATAATAATTAGTGTCAGTAGCAACTTGAGAAACTGCAAGTGGCTTCTGGGGTGAGAGAATTGGCCGTCTACAAGGACATTGCCCAGGGATGCCCGGATGTTTTGATGTTTTACCAAAGGGCAAGGAGCCCCCGGTGGCACAGTCGTTTAAACCCCTGTGCTGGTAGGACTGAAGAACGACAGGTCGCAGGTTCAAATCTGGGGAGAGGCGGAGGAGCTCCCTCTATCAGCTCTAGCTCCTCATGCGGGGACATGAGAGAAGCCTCCCACAAGGATGATAAAAACATTAAATCATCTGGGCGTCCCCTGGGCAATGTCCTTGCAGACGGCCAATTCTCTCACACCAGAAGCGACTTGCAGTTTCTCAAGTTGCTCCTGACACGGCAAAAAAAAAAAACAAAACCCCAAAGGGCAATGTCCTTGCAGACGGCCAATTCTCTCACCCCAGAAGCCACTTGCAGTTTCTCAAGTCACTACTGACACTAATAATAATAATAACAATAATAGATTTAGCCACTGAGGGCCCTTCCCTACAGCTCTATAACCCAGAATATCAAGGCGGACAATCCCACATTATCTGAGTGTGGACTCAGATAACCCAGTTCAAAGGGTGGAAAGTCAGTGCAAGGCTAGCTTATCTATTTTATTTGGTGCATTTATTAACCGCCATTCTCAGCCCTCTCGGGCGACTCATCTATCTATTCATCTATCTCTGGCCCCCTCCACGCAGCTTAATAAAATCCCACATTATCTGCTTTGAAGTGGAATATATGGCAGTGTGGATTCAGATATCCCAGTTCAAAGCAGATACTGTGGGATTTTCTGCCTTGATATTCTGGGATATAGGACTATGTGGAAGGGCCCTGAGAGCGAATCTGGCTCATTCCTGGGTGCCTCACCCATTTAGCAGAGGATGGAGCAAACCTGTCTTCCTGCCTCTGTGTCAGAAGGTGTGAGTGGGAAGATCACAAAGCTCAATGGCAACATATAAGGATGCCAACCATTCCCCTGGATTTAATGATATGATGCCCAGCCTGCCCTGTGGCCACTCCAACAGCCCTAGCAGTTGGGGCTTTGGGGTGGGTGGGTGGGGGGGGGGGGGGAGAGGATAAAGGCCTATCTGGAAAGTAAGGGCCCTTCCACACTTAAAAACTACAGAAAACTCTAACTACAGAATTTGACTCGCATCAGGCCAGCAGACTGTTATTGAAACAGATTTAAATTAATGTGATTTTATGTTTTAAATGTATGTAATTATTGGATTTTATTATGTGTACATTGGAGGCATCAAATTGTTGCCAGCTGGAAGCCACCCTGAGCCCCCCCCCCCCGAGGGGGTTGAGAAGGGTGGGGTACAAATATCTGAAATAATAATAAATAATAAAAATTCAAAACCTTCCCCATACTCTGAAGAGCATAGGGCCCTTCCACACAGCCATATAACACAGAATATCAAGGCCAAAAACCCCACAGTATCTGCTTTGAACTTGGACATTTGAGTCCACGTTGCCTTATATTCCAATTTAAAGCAGATAATGTGGGATTTTATTTAGCTGAGTGGAAGGAGTTGTAGATAGATGAATAGATAATCTAGCCTTCCACTGATTTTCCACCCTTGTGGTTCCCCTCTTTGCAGTAGTTCAGCAGGGCTGAAGGGCATTGGGTTGGGCAGCTTTGCAGCATGGCATCTTTGCAACGAGGGAGGGCATGACTAGGTGTGGCCTGTGTGGCTCAGCTTCCTTGGCATCTTTTGACGGCTCACGAATCTTATTGTAGTTCTGGGAAGTCATCAGCGATGAGCACGGCATCGATCCTACTGGCAGCTACCACGGAGAAGGTGAACTGCAGCTGGAGCGAATCAACGTCTACTACAATGAAGCTGCTGGTAATAAATAGCACCCTTTGAAATTAAAGTGTCCCTCCCTTTGTGGGTTTCTTTCAAGGCATGTCACTACAGGAATTGGACAGAACTGTTCTGCTATAAAAGGGCGATGGAGGGGGGGAGGGTCAGGGAACTGGCTTATATTACGACCTAGTTGTCGTCTTGGACTTATGGCAACCCTGAAGCAAAGCTATCTTGGGGTTTTTCTTTTGGGAAAAGGATGGCCTTTGAAATTCTAACCTTTTTTGAAAACCAGAATCTCCAAATCCATTTGGAAGTGTGGCCTTTTGGAGATGAATTGGCATTCACTACCATTTGGAAAATCACAACCTTTGTGCAAAGTATGATCTTCCCGAGAAGAGCTAATATAATAATAATATTATTTATTTATACCCCGCCACCATCTCCCCAACAGGGACTCGGGGCAGCTTACATGAGGCCAAGCCCAACAGCATATTACAATAAAATAAAAACCAAGGCACAAAACAACAACACAGTAAATATATAAAACATATGAGTACAGTAAGCAATATAAACAATACAATACAAAATCATTCACAATGACAATGAGCAGGCCGCATGTGCGGGATAAAATACTAAAAACTCAGAGTAAGATAGGAATAGAGCAGATTATTCTGGTCACATCCCGCCTTGACTACTGCAACGCTCTCTATGTGGGGCTGCCCTTGAAGACGGCCCGGAAGCTTCAGCTAGTCCAGCGCGCGGCAGCCATGTTACTAACGGGAGCGGGACGCAGGGAGCATACAACGCCCTTGTTGTCCCAGCTCCACTGGCTGCCAATCTGCTACCGGGCCCAATTTAAGGTGCTGGTGTTATCCTACAAAGCCCTAAACGGTTCCGGCCCAAAATACCTTTCGGACCGCATCTCGGCCTATGAGCCCACGAGGGCCTTGAGATCGTCTGGGGAGGCCCTTCTCTCGATCCCGCCTGCTTCACAGGCACATCTGGCGGGGACGAGAGAGAGGGCCTTCTCGGTGGTGGCCCCCCGGCTGTGGAACGCTCTCCCTGTTGATATTAGACAGGCGCCCTCCCTTATGTCTTTCCGTAAGAGCTTAAAGACCTGGCTATTCGAGAAGGCATTTAACTGAGTGCTATACTAATTGGTAATGACAACTGGAACGGAATGGATTATGAGATTGGTTACGATTCAATGATGGAACGGAGCGGATTATTTAGTGTAATTTAGATTGTTGTGTATTATTGATGTGTTGATTTTCTGTTGTTGTTCTATTGTAAACGGTTTTTATATGTTGTACACCGCCGCGAGTCGCCCTAGGGCTGAGAGCGGCGGTCAACAAATGCACCAAATAAAATAAATAAATAATAATAATATTTGTGAGGGTGAAGCTCGTAAAGAAACAGGGTTGTAAACAACAGCCCTTCATGGGGTGGGGGGTGAACTTTAAGGACAAAGGCGTTGAGGGGGAGCAACAATGTATGGTTGTATGGCTACAGACTCCTTTGAGTGAATCTTCTCCTTAGTTGTAAATATCCACTAGTATTCATGCAAAGCAAATTAGGTTTCTCAGTTGTTAGACTGATATACCTAGATCTCTCTTTGAACTGTTAGGAACCAAATGCACAAAACAGCAGTTTCAGAAGTGTTATTTCAGCTGCCCAAAAACATATACTCTCCCTGAAAACATCTTGCTTTTAAATCATGCTCTCAAGAGACAAAAATAGGTAGTCTTCATTAAAAGTAATTTAATGTTGGTTTACTCACAAACTTCATGTATTCAGCATACAGGTACATTGCTTATCAATCCAGAAACAGATAGGATTTGAAGTAGTTTCTCTGTGCAGATAATACAAGGCAACTTTCTTATAATCAACAGTCCAAAGTCTAAAGCAGGGGTCCTCAAACTAAGGCCCGGGGGCCGGATACAGCCCTCCAAGGTCATTTACCCGGCCCTCACTCAGGGTCAACCTAAGTCTGAAACATCTTGAAAGCACACGACAACAACAATCCTATCTCATCAGCCAAAAGCAGGCCCACACTTCCCATTGAAATACTAATAAGCTTATAGTTATTAAAATTGTTCTTCATTTTAATTATTGTATTATGTTAAAGTATTTTTGCATTACAAATAAGATATGTGCATTGTGCATAGGAATTCATTCATATTATTTTTCAAATTATAATCTGGCCCTCCAACAGTTTGAGGGACTGTGACCTGGCCCTCTGTTTAAAAGGTTTGTGGACCCCTGGTCTAAAGCATCTCTCAGTCAAATTGAGTCAGTGTACAGTCTGAAGGTTTAATGGAGTCTGTCTTTCTAAAATGGGGTCTGAGATCTTGTGGTCTACAGTCCCTCCCACAACACAGAGTTAAGGAAAACTGCATACCAACACACACATATACAATACAGTAAGCAATCTGAATTATATGCATAACAAATTACTAGTGTAGAAGGCTTGAAGAAGGTTGCTATTTCCAACAAAGTCAGGGAACTGGCCTATATTATGACCTGGTTGTTTTTTTCAAACGTACAATAACCCTAAAGTGAAGCTATATTGGAGTTTTCTTGGCCAGATTTGTTCAGATTGGGTTTTCTTTGGTCTCCCCGCACCAGAGAGAGTGATTTGCCCAGAGGTTATAGAAAAGAAGAAATAATGGCTCCTTTTTTTTGCTGTGTATTCCCATCCTTCCAACAACTCTGCTCCTGCAGCCTCTATGGGAATTAACAAATACTTGCTACACTACAAAATAATTAATTCTGGTCTCCTTACCAGGTGAAAAGTAAAGGCCCCTTCTACATTGCCATATAAACTCCAGATTATATGGTCGTGTAGACTCGTATAGGGGAGTCCGTGGTGGAGCAGCATGTTAAACCACTGAGCTGCTGAACTTGCTGACCAAAAGGTTGGCGATTTGAATCCGGGGAGTAGGGTGAACTCCTGCTGTTAGCCTGAGCTTCTGCCAATCTAGTAGTTTGAAAACATACAAATATGAGTAGATCAGTAGGTACTGCTTTGGCGGAAAGGTAACGGTGCTCCATTCAGTCATGTCGGCCACATGACCTTGGAGGCGTCTACGAGCAACACTGGCTCTTTGGCTTATTAATAGAGATGAGCACCACCTCTCAGAGTTGGACACGACTAGACTTAATGTCAACCTTTTCCCTTACTTTGGACTCGTATAATCCTGTTCGAAGCAGCTAATGTAGATTATTTGATTTGATAGTTGGATTATATGGCAGAGTAAAGTCTGCCAAAGTTTCCAATTTGATAGTCTCAACTCCTTTCTCTTTTTATTATCCTGTAACAAAGAGCTTTCCAAACATTTTATGTTGGTGACACACTTGTAGACATGTATCATTTTGCAACACAGTAATTCAGGTTTTTTTTTAGCAAACTGGAGGTTAAATCAACCTCTTAGAAGAGATACGAACACATGCGTAAATTCTAATAATGACATGTTTGTGAACACAATCCATCTCAGCAAAACCTTTCTTTTATATCTTTTAAAATATAGGGCCCTTCCACATAGCCATATAACCCAGAATATCAAGGCAGAAAATCTGTAGAATTACTACAGTCTGACACCAGTTTATTTGCCATGGCTGTGCTATGGAATTCTGGGAGTTGTAGTTCTGTAAGGTCTTTATCTTTCCTTCCAAAAGAGCGGCAGTGGCTTCAGACGCTACAAATCCCATGATCCCATAGCATTGGGCCATAGCAGTTCAAACAGTATTAATCTGACAGTTTAGATGCACCCTTGGGAAGATGGAAATGGCTATCCTTCTGGGCTTGAATGAATATCCATATAAACACATAACACAAGGCTGTAATACAACTAAATCCTGATTGAGGTCTTGGGATTCTGAGGTGTGACTTGAATGTGCTGAATCTGCATGGAGAATACAGATTCAGAAGTTAGGAGCGGTGTACCAAATGTATTGTTTGTATATAACAGTGGTTCCCAACCTTTTTTTGAACAGGGACCACTTTGACCAAGGACCACTCTCCAACATTAGAACCAAAAAGGTTACGAATTAGTTTTTGGTCTATTTTGGATTTGGTTATTTGGGGTACTAATTCAGACAATTGCATCGCATAGACCACACCAGCTCTAGTTTCTGATACAGAACATATGCCATCCAGTAGTCACCATCAGCTCGGCCACAGAAAACCATATTTACTAATCTAGAGCCGATGTGGCAGTAATCATCTTTTGTGGGTAGTCAGCCTCTACCCTCACAGCAACCCCATTGCGTCGGCACTATTAAGAGGGTTTCACAAGACCAGTTGCTCTTGTTGCCATGTGGTTTCGAGGCAAGGGTAATGGTGAGGCTGCGGACCATATTTTCCTCCTTGCGGACTACTGGTGGTCTATGGACCACAGGTTGGGAACCACTGGTATATAAGAACTAGTGTTTTTCTGCTGTCTACTAAGAGTTTTTAAGGTCCCTTTTTTGGATTAATGGTCATGAACATGGTCCTTGGAAAGTACCTAATAAGGCTACTATGTCTATAAGCCTGACTGCATTTTTTCCCCACAGGAAACAAGTATGTTCCCCGTGCAATCCTTGTTGACTTGGAGCCTGGGACAATGGACTCAGTCAGGTCTGGACCTTTTGGCCAAATCTTTAGGCCTGACAACTTTGTTTTTGGTACGTAATTCCGCTTTTTGTGCCTGCAATCACAGATCTTGCCTTGTGTCGAATTGTATCTCAAATAACTTTGGCAAAAAGACAGTTACTTGTCCCAAATGTTCTATCCACTTTCTTTATGCACAAAATGCAAAAACATAGGCGTATATGGGTATGTAGTAGACATTTAAGTTCAGCTACCATAAGTAGTGTTTGAATAATTTTGTTGATTCAGCTTTGGGGTTTTTTGTGACCATAAATATAAACTCTGAATGGCCATGTGGAAAGGAAAACCTGAGCATTGATGGTCTACCTAGCAGAAATGTGGTGCAGCTAGAACAGGCGTGGGCCAACATTTGGACTCTCAACTCCCACAATTCTTAACACCCTACTTGCTGTTAGGAATTGTGGAAGTTGAAATCCGAAACACCTGGAGGGCCGAAATTTGTCCATGCTTATATTAAGAGTGGGGTTATTTGTGGATAGAAAAAAACCATCTTTCTTAGGCCAGCAATGGAAAATTATTTTATTATCACTGTAGACAATTAAAGAGGAGCTTAATAACCTGTGCTTCTGCTTTTCTGATAGGTCAGAGTGGTGCTGGAAACAACTGGGCCAAGGGCCATTACACAGAGGGTGCCGAACTAGTGGACTCTGTGCTGGATGTGGTCAGGAAGGAGTCTGAGAGCTGCGACTGCCTTCAGGGCTTCCAGCTCACCCACTCGCTGGGCGGTGGCACAGGCTCTGGGATGGGCACCCTCCTCATCAGCAAGATCAGGGAGGAGTATCCCGACAGGATCATGAACACCTTCAGCGTAATGCCCTCACCCAAGGTGTCGGACACAGTGGTTGAGCCATACAATGCCACCCTCTCCGTCCACCAGCTGGTGGAGAACACAGATGAAACCTACTGTATTGACAATGAGGCCCTCTATGACATCTGCTTCCGCACACTGAAGCTCACAACACCGACCTATGGGGACCTCAACCACTTGGTCTCGGCCACCATGAGTGGAGTCACCACCTGCCTCCGGTTCCCTGGACAACTCAATGCAGATCTTCGCAAGCTGGCGGTCAACATGGTGCCTTTCCCTCGCTTGCACTTCTTCATGCCAGGCTTTGCTCCACTGACTAGCCGTGGCAGCCAACAATATCGGGCCCTGACAGTGCCAGAGCTCACCCAGCAGATGTTTGATTCCAAAAACATGATGGCGGCCTGCGACCCACGCCATGGACGCTACCTGACCGTGGCGGCCATCTTCCGAGGCAGGATGTCCATGAAGGAAGTTGACGAACAGATGCTCAACATCCAAAACAAGAACAGTAGCTACTTTGTGGAATGGATCCCCAACAACGTGAAGACGGCAGTATGCGACATCCCGCCACGAGGCCTCAAAATGTCCGCCACATTCATCGGCAACAGCACAGCCATCCAAGAGCTCTTCAAGAGGATCTCTGAGCAGTTCACCGCCATGTTCCGGCGCAAGGCCTTCTTGCATTGGTACACCGGTGAGGGCATGGATGAAATGGAGTTCACAGAAGCCGAGAGCAACATGAACGACCTGGTCTCCGAATACCAGCAATATCAAGATGCTACTGCTGATGAGCAGGGCGAATTTGAGGAGGAAGGTGAAGAAGACGAGGCTTAGGATTGACGTTGGTTTAGTACAGTTAGGCGAGTGTCGGGGTGTAGTCTGTTCAACTCTACTGGTGCATGTTTTTTTAATACTGGTGATCTTTAAATTCTTTGCCTCTAGCAACTGTTTTTGTGATCCTTATGCTATGTAAGTCAAATGTTCATTCATGCATTAATTTGCAGGATCATATGATAAAGAGCAGTGGTTCTCCAACTTCTAGAAGCCCAAGACCTCTTGATTAAATGTCAGGGATTTTGAGACATCCAAAACATCTGGAGAATCCAAAGATTGAGAAAACTGCTCTAGAATGAGATTTGGCAGATGAAAAAGTCATGTCATAAACTAGTAGAAGAAAACCCAGGTGATATGAATTTGTCCTCTTACTTCAGTGAGTGTCTTGCTAGTCTAGAAATAACTTAAATGATTCTTAAATCTTAAAAATTAACTGCTGGGATTAAGCAATATCTTGTTCTTGTATTTTTTGGTGATACTGAAGTTACTGCTAACATTCAAAGTTATATTGAAAAGATATTTAAATAGATCATTTAAAATGAGGGGACTATATCAGCTGCTTTACAATAAAATGTAGTGGCTAAACCAGGCATGGGCAAACTTTGGGCCTCCAAGTTGACTTCAACTCCCAGAAATCCCAGTCAACTTACCGGCTGTTAGGAATTGTGGGAGTTGAGGTCCAAAACACCTGGAGAGCCGATGTTTGCCCAGCTAAACTCTTTTTCCTCTAGTGCAGTGGTTCTCAACCTGGGGTCCCCAGATGTTTTTGGCCTACAACTCCCAGAAATCCCAGCCAGTTTACCTGCTGTTAGGGTTTCTGGGAGTTGAAGGCCAAAAACATCTGGGGACCCCAGGTTGAGAACCACTGCTCTAGTGGCAGGTAGGATTCCTAGGTTGTGAAGCAGTGCACGCTCCCATTCACAACAATGGAATAGATTTTGCAAGGGTCAAGATACTATAATCTACTGCAGGGGCAAGGGCTATTTGTGCCTTTAGGTCAGTGGTTCTCAACCTGTTGGTCCCCAGATGTTTTGGCCTTCAACTCCCAGAAATCCTAACAGCTGGTAAACTGGCTGGGATTTCTGGGAGTTGTAGGCCAAAACACCTGGGGACCCACAGGTTGAGAACCACTGCTTTAGGTGTTGAGCAGGTCCTGTAATTTGCTATAGGGAATGAACATTGTAGTGCATCGCCCTTAGGGCTACATGGCCCCTATCCCTACCCTTCAGAACTGCACAGATTTATGGTCCCAATACTTTGCCTCCTTGTCTTCCTTGTGTTCTCACAATGCAAAGAGTAAGAGTGTTTATATTTGCAATGTTGTGTCCCAAGTATGTAGCGTTTTTAACTGCATCTTGAATTTTATTGCTGCCAACAAATCGGGATAGATTGGGCTCTTCAAAGGATGCAGATATGTATTGTGGGAAAACATGTCTTATAGGGCAGGACCCTCATCATTGGCTTGTACAGTTAGATGCCATCTTTCAGTTCGATATATTTCTTTAAAAGTGTTCTGATGCCATGTCTGCCTGTTAGTTCTTCATTGTAAAGCTGAGTCTAGCTTAGATCTTACTACTTTTAGACTGGATGGAGAAACATGTAAGGTCTGGTGGGGTGGGTGTGGAAGGGGTGGGCACATCAGCCGCTAGAATGCTAATAGAGTAGGCATGGATTCTGATAGCAGTGACGGCGCATGCTTTCCGTGGCAGAGTGTGATGCTGGCATTCTTTTGTGCATTGTGTGAACTTGTCAAGGATATCTGTCATGAAATCAAACTATACAGCAGCTTTTGTGTGGTGTTCATGTTGAGGACTCTGTATAAAGGCATGGATTCTGAACAATGACTTCTGTTTTTCTTCAAGATGGACCTTGGCAATAAAATGTTTATTAAAAGTGGTGCTGGTCTCTTAACAATTATTGCGGAGTCGCTTATTAACACAGGAGTCCTTGTTAAGCAATGGTAGGCTTTAATCTTCATTTAGTATAAGTTAAAAAAAAATACCCACGCAGGGAATATTTCTTCATACAGGAAAACCGCTGGCAAAGAGGTATGTTATAATTTGGGGACAATAAGAACATGAAGAAATTTGGTTCCCTTTCCCTCTCATCCCTGCTACTATGATTACATACACCCAAGTGTTTGGTAAGCATTTAATAGCAATGCTTTATAGAAGGCGCATTTTGGGGTTTCAGACTCTCCACCAGGCAGTCTCTTGAGAACTAGCCTCTTAATCCTTATGGCAACCTGGCAGCTTTATAGAAGGAACTTTTCCACCGCTTTGTTAAATTCGTCTGCAAATCGTAGATGCAGATTATGTTTTCCTTCAGGCACAAAATGTAACCTGCAAAATATAAATGCTCTTATCAGTTCAAGAGTGCAGGGAAAATTTCTTTCTTACCTGTTTATTATATTAAATATTGCACACCTAATTTATTTTCTATATATAGTTATACCCCACCCTTCCCACCCTGAAGGGGATTCAGGGCTGTTTACAGAGTAGGCCACAATTCGATGCCGCATAAACATACAAGTAAAATAAACATACACATTAAAAAAATAAAGTTAAAAACATCTGAGTCCCCCCTCGGGGGTCGAGAAGGGCAGGCAGAAGTGCGAGAAATAAATAAATCTAAACCAGGGGTCCTCAAACATTTTAAACAGGGCCAGGTCACAGTCCCTCAAACTGCTGGAGGGCCAGATTATAATTTGAAAAAAAAATGAATTCCTATGCACACTGCACATATCTTATTTGTAGTGCAAAAAACACTTAAAAACAATACAATAATTAAAATGAACGATTTTAACAAATATAAACTTGTTCATATTTCAATGGGATGTGTGAGCCTGCTTTTGGCTGATGAGATAGGATTGTTGTGTGCTTTCAAGTTGTTTCAGATATAGGGTGACTGAGCAAGGGCCAGGTAAATGACCTTGGAGGGCCGTATCTGGCTGCCGGGCCTTAGTTTGAGGACCCCTGGTCTAAACATTAAAAACATTTATTAAAACCACACAATTGAAAATCATAGTCCCGGAGCCATTACAGTCATAATTGCACTTATTCCATATCCAAATTACTGACTGAAGGCTTGGTCCCAGAGCCACGTTTTTAATTTCTTTCTAAAAGTCAGGAGGGAGGGAGCTGATCTAATATTGCTGGGGAGGGAGTTCCATAGTCGAGGAGCCACCATTGAGAAGATCCTGTCTCTCGTCCCCACCAGTTGCTCCTGCAAAGGATGTGGGACTGAGAGCAGGGCCTTCCCAGAAGATCTTAACCTCCAAGGTGGTTCATAGAGAGAGAGATGATACATTCGGACATGTAAGCCGGGCCAGAACCATTTAGGGCTTTATAGGCTAAAGTCAGCATTTTGAATTGTGCTCAGTAGCACACTGGCACCCAGTGGAGCTGACCTAACAGGGAAGTTGGATGCTCCCTGTACGCTGCTCTGGTGAGAAATCTGGCTGCCGCCCATTGGATCAATTGAAACTTCAGAACAGTCTTTAAAGGCAACCTTACACAGAGCATATTGCAGTAGTCTATTTGAGATGTAACAAGAGCATGGACCACTGTAGCCAAGTTTGGCTTCTCAAAGTACGGGCGCAACTCGCGCACAAGTTTTAATTGTGCAAAAGCTCCCCTGGCCACTGCCGAGACCTGGGGTTCCAGGCTCAGCAATAAATCCAGGAGAACACCCAAGCTGCGAACCTGCATCTTCGGGGGGACTGTAACCCATCCAGGACAGGCTGTAACCCTATACACTGTTCGGCCTTCCGACTGACCAGGAGTACCTCTGTCTTGTCTGGATTCAATTTCAATTTGTTTGCCCTCATCCAGTCCAATACAGCTGCCAAGCACCATTTCAGAACCTGAACAGCCTCCTTAGCAGCAGGTGGAAATGAGTGATAGAGCTGTATGTCATCTGCATACAGATTGGAAACTGGCCAAAAGTTGTTCAACTGAGTGGGGTCCAGTGATCTGTTCATGAAACTAAATTAGCATAATAGAACTGAAATAGACATAAATGCCTTCAAGCCTGGAAACGGCCTAAATCCCCTTCCTAATCTCAAATAAAACAGATGACAATTTAACATGAATTAATTCACTGGGCTTACATAAGTATAAATTAGTATGATGGGCCTAAGATACTTTTTCTGTATGGTCCAGGATAACTAGAGAGAAATCAAGCCCATTTCTTTCTTTGAAAAAATAACATGGGAATAAGCACAATTGTGCTTGGAGTACAGCCTTGTTTTAATCAAGAAAAAAATATTTTCCTGTGAATCATTCCTTAGAAGATGTAATAATGGCAACATGGCTATTTTTATCGGTGCTAGAAGTTCAAAATGTTAACAACTGAAATGTGTGTTTTGTAGCAGGCATTTCAGACTATCACATAGACATGACCAGGAATTCAAAAGCCATTCCTGACAATTTTATATTTTGCTTTGGCCATAATTTGGGGAAAAAGTAGTTGGAGTTTCATATGCTGTTAACTAACCCCAAGTACATCACCAACTACAACAGTTACAGCAGAACCAAATGGAACTTTGTCTGTTTTGAGGATGTTGCAGTTTGATACGTGCAGAAATAGGAATTGATTAATGCTAATCCTTCCCAAACTATGGACCTGTTTATTTTGAGCATTTAGGTTCTGCATGTTTGTGATCCTTCAGATACTTCAGTCATCCTTCACCACTCAATATTGAGAAGGGAAATGCAGTCCAACATTGTACAGAAGTGATTATAATAATATGATTATAACTGTATTTATGTTTGCATTGGTTGCCCTAAGGCTGGAGCGGCCTAGCTGTGAGGAGTATGTTACCATGGAAACGATGCTGCAGAGGAGTGGGAGGAGCTTAGAGAAGAGTGTTTTTGAAAAGCGACAGTTAAGAGTCAGTCAGGTTGGAGACTCTGAGAAGGGAAGAGTCAGGTTGGAGACTCTGAGTCAGGAGAGAGACAGTGTTCGTGAATAGTCAGAGATTTCTTCAGTTAGGAAAGCTGAAGAGGAAAACCTTATTAGTTTCTTTAGTTAGAAAGAACTAACAAAGGCTTGTTTAGATCCCTAGTTAAAAGAACTAGAGATCTGGTGTTTGATCATAGAAGAATCAAACGGGGAGACTATTCACCACAGTAAAACATTGTTTATTGAAGTGCTTCACCACAGCAAGAGTTTCATAAGTTGTAACATCGGAAGTCTGAACTGTATCACAACCAAGTTACATGTATCGTTCTCTAAGTATTTGCCAAGCTTAACATCAAACTGCAACCATACGCTTTGTTTCAAATAAACTTGTTCTCTTTGGTTTTTAAAACTGCCTCACCTCCATTTATTCTACGCTCGGTGTACCCAATCTCTCATAATTACCTCACAACACAAATAGGGTGGCATCCGGTGATATAAATACAAGAGCCTTTTACAATTTGGTGCCGGCTTGTAGTGGACTCCTTTGCAAACATAATCAGGAGAATTGAAAACTGTGCACACTACAACTGCTGTGTGTAGTTGTACTACACTTTGATATACTGGTAGTCCATCACCTGTAGAAGCCTACCTAATCACTTCACCCCAAAAAAATCATTAAATATTTAAAGAAGTCCAGAAGACTTTAAAAAGTGACTCACTGTGAACCTATGATATGCTTGTGAAGATACTCCGGGTGAGCACGTGGTACCAACGGATCTTTCTCCCCATGTAGTATTAACGTTGGGCACTTAATGTGAGGCAATACAGATTGACAGATGCTACCTGTGATGGGAGATAAACGAAAAAGCATACACGCACATATATCTCAGTTAAAGAAGTTGGGCATTATTTATTTAAAAGAAATTTGGTATCGGAGGCAGAAACAACATGAAAAGGTATTGTCGAAGGCTTTCATGGCCGGAATCACTGGATTGTTGTAGGTTTTTTGGGCTATATGGCCATGTTCTAGAGCATTCTCTCCTCACTACCTCTGAGGATGCTTGCCATAGATGCAGGCAAAACGTCAGGAGAAAATGCCTCTAGAACATGGCCATATAGCCCGAAAAACCTACAACAACCCAACATGAATAGGGATAGGTTCCTACACTATCCAAAGGCAATTCAATATGTTCCAGCAAACCTTTTATTCAAAACTGAAATAAAATGAAACAACACAACCAGGTAAGCCTTGCATAAGCAAACAAAACAATTTCAATCCTTCCAAGGAACACTTGAGGATTTCTCCCAGGGTTGACTTTCTTTTAACAATTTCCACTTTATTATTATTATTATTATTACTACTACTACCACTACCACTATTACTATTATTATTTTTGAATTCAAATGTAGACATACATGGGGAAGGTGATGAGGTGGGCTTAAATAAATACTCTCCCTTTGTTTGGTTGTTTATGCACACTCAGGAAGGGATTCTGGAGTCAGCTGCTGTTTACCTTGCCTGTTCTAGTTAGTTATGGTAACATTATCTAGAACAGTGGTTCTTAACCTGTGGGCTGCGGACCACCAGTGGGCCGAAAGAATGAAAATCCGGTCCGCAAGACTCCTTCCTCCTTATTTATTTTATTTTTGCTCCTTTCATGCCACCTGCCACTCTTTCCCTGTCACTGACCAACCCCACCCCCTTGGATTGACCACATCAGCTCTAGATTATTTTCTGTGAACAAGCAGATGGCGACTATTGGATAATATCTAGTATCAGAAACTAGAGCTGATGTGGTCTATCCAATGAATTTTTCTGAATCAGCACCTCAAATAACCAAACAGAGTCTAAAGTTAACCAAAAACTAATTTGTAACCCTTTTGGTACTAATGTTGAAGAGTGGTCCCTGGTCAAAATTGTCCCTGGTTAAAAAAAAAGATTGGGATCCACTGGTCTAGAAGAATACTGCTATTTTAATTGCAACGTTACTACATACACAAATGCTACTGCAACCTAACAACTGCTAAAAACATTCCAGAAGGACAAAGGACGAGGAGGAAAGAGGGCTTGGTGGACATAAAAATACTTTGTAAAAAAAGGAGCTTCTTGTGAACTGAGGTATGTCTTTAAAAACAACCACAAAACTATATACAGTAGCAGCTTTGAACTCCAAGAGAAAATAAACGATGTATGGGTTTACAAACTGTTCTAAGAATGTGAGAGAATTTCCAGATGAATCTACAGAAAGTATAAGTCCTTAAGAAATATTTCTTTGTGTTTTGCTGGTTGCTATTGCCAACAAGAGACCAGATTGCCAATATCCGCTGGATAATGGAGAAAGGCAGAGAGTTTCAGAAAAACATCTGTTTCTGTTTTATTGACTATTCTAAAGTCTTTGACTGTGTGGATTATAATAAATTGTGGCAAGTTCTTGGTGGTATGGGCGTACCAAAGCACCTTGTCTCTCTCCTGACTAATCTGTATAAGGTCAAAGTAGCAACAGTAAGCAACTGACCATGGAACAACAGACTTGTTCAAGATTGGGAAAGGCGTACGGCAGGGTTGTATACTCTCCCCCAACCTATTCAACTTGTATGCAGAACACGTCATGCGATGTGCGGGGCTTGAGGAATGCAAAGCTGGGGTGAAAATTGCTGGAAGAAACATTAACAACCTTAGATATGCAGATGACACCACTTTGATGGTCGAAAGCGAGGAGGAGCTGAGGAGCCTTCTAATCAAGGTGAAAGAAGAAAGCGCAAAAGCCGGGTTGCAGTTAAACAAAAAAACCAAGGTTATGGCAACAAGAATGATTGACAACTGGGAGATAGAGGGAGAAAACGTGGGGGCAGTGACAGACTTTGTATTTCTAGGTGCAAAGATTACTGCAGACGCAGACTGTGGCCAGGAATTCAGAAGACGCTTACTTCTTGGGAGGAGAGCAATGTCCAATCTCGATAAAATAGTGAAGAGTAGAGACATCACACTGGCAACAAAGACCCACATAGTTAAAGAAATGATATTCCCTGTAGTCATCTACGGATGTGAGAGCTGGACCATAGGGAAGGCTGAGCGGAGGAAGATAGATGCTTTTGAATTGTGGTGTTGGAGGAAGGTTCTGAGAATGCCTTGGACTGCGAGAAGATCCAACCAGTCCATACTTCAGGAAATAAAGCCTGACTGATCATTGGAGGGAAGGATACTAGAGGCAAACAAGAAGTACTCTGGCCACATCATGAGAAGAAAGGAAAGCTTAGAGAAGAGTATGATGCTGGGGAAAATGGAAGGAAAAAGGAAGAGGGGCCAACCAAGGACAAGATGGATGGATGGTATCCTTGAAGTGACTGGATTGACCTTGAAGGAGTTGGGGGTGGTGATGACCGACAGGGAGCTCTGGCATGGACTGGTCCATGAAGTTACGAAGAGTCGGAAACGACTGAATGAATGAACAACAATTACCTCTACATCCACTTATTCCATTCTTCTGGAGTACTGATCGTAACTATATATTAGCTAGGACTCTTCTAACTTCTTTTTTAAAAAAATCAGGACATGGTCTGCTAAACTGGCCCTCTGGTTTGAAGGGCAAACTTTCTCCTCTCTGAATGTCCAATTTATTTGCCGTATGTAAATTTACAGAAGAAACGTGCTATTTCATTAATGCTCTTTATCACTATATAGTTTTTAAAAATATATATATATAAAGAATGAGGAGCATATTGTTCCGGTATGTCTAAGAATGAGAAGGGAACCTATTTAATGGTGGAAACAAGATATTGCAGTTTGTGCCACAATGTAGTTCTGGATAACAGAAATATAGTTTGGATATTTTTAAAATCCCGAGAACCGTAGCAACAAATATTGCAACTTCTCAGTGTTGTATCGAGATGAGTCCTTAGAAGACTAGCAGTTTGGAGTGATACGAAACACTTTACATACCTGGCTGGCTCAGTCACTGTTACAGCAACCTGATTCCATGTAAAAAGCCTGCTGAAATCTTGGGGAGGATGGTTAAGTGAAATTGTGTTTGTAGTGTTCCCATAATTTTGGCCTAGCATTCCATTGTTTTCTTTTACTTTAGTAGGCCTTTGTGGGGCTCCCTGGTGGTGCAGCGGATTAAACTGTTGAGCTGCTGAACTTGCTGGACAAAAGGTTGGCAGTTCGAATCTGGGGAGTAGGGTGAGCTTCCGCTGTCATGCCGAGCTTAATGGCGCTCCATGCAGTCATGCCAGCCAAATGACTTTGGAGGCGTCTATGGACAATGCTGGCTTTGGCTTAGAAATGGAGACGAGCACCACCCCCAGAGTCAGACACGACTAGACTTAATGTCAAGGGAAACCTTTACCTTAGGCTTTTGTGATAGTGTTAAAAAGTTTTCTTTTATAGTCAGCCCCCTTCATTTATGAGTTTCAATTTTGTGGATTTGATTATTTTCAGATTTAATTAATATGTTCCTCTCTAGAAATTTCTAGGTCTCTCAGTGTGACTCTATTGTCGACTTCTGCTGGAAGTTATTTATTATTTATTTATTTACTGCCTTTATATCCCATCCTTCTTACCCTGAAGGGGACTCAGGGCGGCTCACAACAATAGGCACAATTTGATGCCATGAATATATATATACACACACACACACACACACACACAATTTAAAAAACCATTTGAATTGCATAATTTAAACATATCAATCTTAAATCAATTAGTTAAAATCACACCATTCAGAAGCATATTCCAGGAGCCAATCCAGTTGTCACTTGCATTATTCATTATTGCACCGAGAGATCATTATTGCACTGGGAATCATTGCCCAAAGGTTTGGTCCCATAACCATGTCTTCACTTTTTTCCTGAAGATCAGGAGGGAGGGAGCTGATCTAATTACCCTGGGGAGGGAGTTTCATTGGCGAGGGGCCACCATCGAGAAGGTTCTGTCTCTCATCCCCACCAGTCACCTCCTTGGACGATCTTAACCTCCGAGATGGTTCATAGAGAGAGATACATTCGGACAGAAAGCTGGCGCAACAGGGGATTGTTTTAGAAACCTAGCTGCCGCCCATCGGACTACTTGAAGCAAGTGACACTTCCAATGTGCATTTAAAGTTTATGGCATGAATATAATAACTCTTTTCATGTTCAAAATAGTTACACATCAGGATTTAATAGTTTTTTTGAAAGGAACTCACGTGCACTAATATTTTTTTCAAATTGTGTGGTTTAGTTGTCAAAGCCATGGATGATTGCTAATTTCCCTTCTTATTATTGATGCCAATTCTGTGCCCTTCACTGATTTAACCTCTTTGTCTTTGCTATCCTGAAAAGCACCTACCATTCAAAAGGCACTTTTGATGTCTTTGGTAGAAAATGTAGAAATTTGTCTCGAACAGTTATTGCTTTTTAACTAGCACAGGTAATGATTGACTCAGCCTGAAAAGTATACACAGGGAAAATTAATTTGTATTTAAAATGGAACAAGGAAAAAACACACCTTAGAAGTAATTAGAGTGTGTCCTTTCCCTCCCAGGCTTTTCAACAAGCTTGCTTACTCAAAAACAACTACTAAGGTAATATACACATTTGAGTAGCTCAAAACTAATGGGAAATTGAGAGCCAGTTTCAGAGTTGTTAAAATTCCTGTTTATTTGCATATGAACTGCCAGTGCAATTCCATGAAAGAAGCTTGGGTTAAATTTGTTGTAAATAGCAACCCTTTACAAGCCTCCTATACCAGTTATTTGTTATATATATAATTCAGATTGCTGACTATGTTGTATATGAGTGTGTTAGTATGCAGTTTCCCCTTAAATCTGTGTTGTTTGAGGTTGTGGGAGGAATTGCAGACCATGGGATCAGATCTGGTACTATTCAGACTTAGACTCCATTTTAGAAATCTGTATTGTATAGTCAGTTGTGTTTCGGTTTTTGTTCAGTTTGCATTACGAGCCAATTTCAACAGAAAGGAGGAAACCATGAAAATGAACATAATCTGGCTACCAGTATTTAAAAAAACCCTCTAAAATCAGGACAGTAAATAAAGAGCAACATTCAGAAAACATGGAATTCCAGAAAGGAAACAATCAGGGCCAGCAAATACTTCCCAACAAATGATTCCCCCAGGCAGGAATGACACTAAAAGGCCATTTGATGCTAATCAAGGTGGCCAATTGTAACATTCATACCTGCCTCAAGCAGACAAGAGTTCTTTCTCCCACCCTGGACGTTCCACAAGTATATAAACCTCACTTGTCTAGTTTCCAACAGAACTCACAACCTGTGAGGATGCCTGTCAGAAATGTGGTTGAAATGTCAGGAGAGAATGCTTCTGGAACATAGCCATACAGCCCAGAAAACTCACATCAGCTCAATGATTCTAGCCATGAAAGCCTTCGACAACATATGGAACTATGTTTGAAAATGATCTTCGCCTAAGAGAAGCTTTCCCTACCTAAGTGTTCTCTAAATTTTTGGACTGCACTTCCCACCAGCATCTGCCAGCAGGATCAATGCTCAAGAATGCTGGGAGGTACAATCTAAAATGTTCTAAAGTTGAAAGGAGGGTGCCTTGAAGGTAGGATGAAAAGTCTGTGAACAGGACACACTTCAGGGAAATGTTTCTCTGCAGTTCAGGGAAATGAGTCCCAATTTGCTACGCACGACTAAGAACTATTACTGAAAGCTTGGCTATATGGTTCAGCTGCGTTCAAATTTAATTGAGTTATTTGCTGCCACAGGTGGTCATTATTGTATAATGTATTCAAGATCTCTACAACCCATTTCTTCAGCCCAAGGGCTCCCACATAATTTAAAAAAAACTATCATTAATTCAAGGTCATCTGTGTTATCCAGAGCTTGCACGAGTTACTCCTTTGGATGACTCCCACGGCCATGCTGGCTGGGAGAGTCTCAAAGTCTAAAAAAGAGCAGCATTTCCAAGTTCTGGCTTAAATTAAACAAATCTGTGGAGTGGGGAGGCAAGAAGAGATGTGGCTCGGGGTCATCTAATAAGGTTCTGACAAGAATGGGAATTCCAACCTATGATTTCTCAGTCCAAGACCAACAATGTCCCCTGTGCTCCTGGGGTGGTTTTTAGCTCCCAGCTAAGCAATGTTAGAGCCCCTTTGCTGTCTGTGGACTTTTGTTTCTTTGAGGGTTGGGTCAAAGAGGGAATGTTAGCAGGTGCGGAGATGGAAAACACTCCACCTGCCACCATTCTTTCAACAGCTCAACTGTCAGGGCACAACAGTCTTTATGCTGGAAGGCTGTATTTTTAACCTCTGAAGTGCTCCAAGAAGACAGTGATAACTAACTCCATTAAAAAGCAGGGAGGGGAGAGGGAAGGATGGATGGAACTGGATAGATAGATGGATAGATAGATGGATAGATAGAGTATTCCTTCCCGTCTCTCACCCACTCTGATTTCTTTTTTCAAAACTGTCACAAACTTTGTGAAAGTTTTTGCTAGAAGGTGTCCACAGGAGGGTATTTATTTATTTATTTATCGTGTCATCCGCAACCAGACCATTGTATTACATTTCTAACAGAACAAAACAAACAAACAGATTAAAAAAACCACAAATTTTGCAAACTTGGTAGTTGATTAAATGTCCTTTGACCAGTATCTGGCCACTTGGAGTGCCTCTGGTGTTGCCGCAAGAAGGTCCTCCATTGTGCATGTGGCAGGGCTCAGGTTGCATTGCAGCAGGTGGTCAGTGGTTTGCTCTTCTCCACACTCAAATGTCGTGGATTCCACTTTGTAGCCCCATTTCTTGAGATTGGCTCTACATCTCATGGTGCCAGAGCGCAGTCTGTTCAGCGCCTTCCAAGTCGCCCAGTCTTCTGTGTGCCCAGGGGGGAGTCTCCCATCTGGTATCACCCACGGATTGAGGTGCTGGGTTTGAGTCTGCCACTTTTGGACTCACGCTTGCTGAGGTGTTCCAGCGAGTGATTCTGTAGATCTAAGAAAACTATTTCTTGATTTAAGTCGTTGATGTGCTGGCTGATACCCAAACAAGGGATGAGCTGGAGATGTCACTGTCTTAGTCCTTTCACTATTGGTTGCAACTTCCCGGCGGATGTCAGGTGGTGCAATACCGGCTAAGCAGTGTAATTTCTCCAGTGGTGTAGGGCGCAGACACCCTGTGATAATGCGGCATGTCTCATTAAGAGCCACATCCACTGTTTTAGTGTGGTGAGATGTGTTCCATACTGGGCATGCATACTCAGCAGCAGAGTAGCACAGGAGGGTGACTAAAATGATCAAGGGTCTGGAGAACAAGTCCTATGAGGAGCGACTTAAAGAGCTGGGCATGCGTAGCCTGCAGAAGAGAAGGCTGTGAGGAGACATGTATAAATATGTGGGGAGAAGCTATAGGGAAGAGCGGGGAGAAGCCCTGGAGACCAGAACGTGGAGCAATGGCTTCAAACTACAGGAAAGGAGATTCCACCAGAACATGAGGAGGAACTTCCTAACTGTGAGAGCTGTTCAGCGGTGGAACTCTTTGCCCTCCCGGAGTGTGGTGGAGGCTCCATCTGGATAGCCATCTGTGGTGGGTGCTTTGAGAGTGATTTTCCTGCTTCTTTTCAGGGGGTTAGACTGAATGACCCACAAGGTCTCTTCCAAATCTATGATTCTATGATAACTTCACTGGACCTTTTTTCCCCCTCCACCATGCTAAAGGAACTTCTAGAGCCATCTGCCTATCCATTTATTTATTTTTATTTATTTACAGTATCTATATTCCGCCCTTCTCACCCTGCAGGGGACTCAGGGCAAACATTCAATGCCAATTTTGACATACAACGTATACAGACATACATAGAGGCCATTTAACTTTTTCTGGCCGCCAGGGGAGCTGTCGCTTTCATCGTCCATCTGTGACACTTGATGAAGTACTTCCACATTCCCCGCATGCTTTTGCTGGAGTGCTTTTTTTAATGGCCTCATAAATTAGTTAATTTAGCCTCCCCACACAAGATGGTACCTAATTTTCCTACTTGACAGATGCAAGTGTCTTTCGGGTTGCAAAGGTCGACAACAGGCTACACAATTGGTTGGAAGCCTACTCCAACCCAGGCTGGCTTCGAACTCATGACCTTTTGGTCAGAGTGATCAACCAACTGATTGATCTTGGAACTTGGAATAATGGACGAGGAGATCGGATTATGATTTTACCATTGAGACGTGATGGATTAGTTATATAGATGTATAGATGCTATATTGATGTTCTGTTGTATTGTTATATTGACGTAGTTGATTTAGTTACTGTTTTAAATGCTAATGTTGTGCACCTTGTATATTGTCATGGCTGTAAACCGCACTGAGTCGCCTACGGGCTGAGATAGTGCGGTACACAAGTAAAGTAAAGTAAATAAATAAATAATGCAGCTGACACTCAGCCAGCTGCGCCACAATTCCGGTGCATACATGGCCCCAGAGCATGACTAAAAAGTGCTTTTCAGAGGGCTTTTCTACACTGCCCTATAATCCAGATTATCAAATCAGATAATCCACATTATCTGCTTTGAACTGGATTATATGAGTCTACACTGCCATATAATCCAGTTCAAAGCAGATAATCTGGATTTTATATGGCAGTATAAAAGGGGCCTGAGGCAAAGTTTCCTCCCAAAAGCTGGCTGAATTTTACTTCAATAAGTCATGGTGTAGTGCAAGCGCCAACATGGAGTATTGGTTCGAATACTGGATTTGGATTCTGGGAGACCAAGGTTCAAACCACACTTACTGCATGACTTTGAGCAAGCTGCACTCTCATCCTAAGAGGAAAGCAAGGGCAAACCTCCTCTGAATAAATCTTATCAGATAGCATTGTCATAAGTTGGAGTCAACTTGGCACACAACAACAACAAAGTCATAATGAGAAAGCATCTTCTATTTCTCCAGATGGCAGGAGATGAAGCCAGGCCCCATAGCATAACATTTCCTTAGTTCTCTCCAACCAGAGACCTAATCTCATATCACAGGGCAACAGTAGCAAAATGACAGTTGTGAAGTAGCAACAAAAATAATGTTATGGTTGAGGGTCACCACAACATGAGGAACTGGATTAAGGGGTCGCGGCATTAGGTGGGTTGAGAACCACTGGCATACACACAGGAATGGCTGCAAACTGAAGAGGAATAGTAGGATGTCCCCTAATATCATCTGCCTGAAGCAGATGTCTCACTCTGCCAAATGGTAGAGCCATACTCTCTGGGCTACAATATCCTTTGGTCCGATTTCAAAATTCATGTTATGTTCCTATGGCAGTGGCTACAACACCATTTTGTCTCCAAGTCCATCTCCTTTTCTCTCTGTCATCTTTTCCTCAATATTTCATTCATTTTTAACAGAGTGGGTGTGGGTGCAAATATGCATATTTAGCATTATTGAGATAAATTAACATTTTTGGTAAATTGCTGAGAACAACACATATGCATGTATGGAACATATCAATATGAATTTGAGGACAACAAGGGAGTGAACAACAAAAACAAAAAATCAGAGCAGTTTAAACATTATTTCCCCCCCCCCCACTTCTTCCCTTACCCCCCCTCCCCCCCCACACACACACACACTTTTTCTCACCATTTGGCTGATGTATAAACTGGCAGATGCCGTCCACCCAAGCYGCACAGGTTTTGCTCAAGTATTCACGTCCATACATTTCTTCCATTGGCTTTCTTGCTCTTTCACTCCATTTTGAAATATCACGGATACCTACAGAGAACAAAGTTGAGCACATACATTAAAGGCTATTTAATAACACCAAAAGGATTACTGCAACTTGCTTTTTCAGATCTAAAATATCACCTTTAGCAATTACGTTGCCTAAAGCAAATTAAAAACTAAGGATGCAAGGCTGCAGAACAGATCCTTTGGTATTTATTTGCTCACGAATTAGTTCTTCAAATATTTATCTTCTGCTTAAGGCACATGTGTTAAACTCAAGGCCCACAAGTCAAATCCAGCCTACTATGTTATTTTATGTTGCCTTCCAGATGCTAGACTACAACTCCCGTGTTCCTTATCATGAGAAATCATAACTAGAGCTGATGGGGTTTGTGATACAATAAATTTTAGAGATCATAACCTTTTGAAAAACCAGGAAAATCCATAGCCTTTTGGAAGCGTGACCCTTTTGGAGATTAATTACAACTCACACTTTTTGGAATAATCATAACCTTTTTGTAAAGTATGATCTCTCTGAGAAGAGTTAAATACTCATTTGGAGTGAATCTTCTCCTTAGTGGTAAATAGGCAAATTAGGTTTCTCAGTTGTTAGACTGATATACCTGATTATCTCTCTGAACTGTTAGGAACAAAGATATGCCAATACAAAAAGATATATAGCAGATCTTCAAAAGTGTTATTTCAGTTGCCCCCAAAAATCTACTCTCCCATAAAATATATTTCTTTTAAATCAAAAATAAGCAGTCTTTGTTAAAAGTAACATAGTTGGCTTACTTAACTTCATGTATTCAGCATACAGATACATTTCTTATTGGTTGATAGTTTAAATCATCTGTTCTCTAAAGTATTCTGTTTGGTCTCTTCTTTTTTTGCATACAGACTAACAGACTCTTCAGTCTAATATATTACTGAACATTGCCTCAATAAAGACAGATGCAACTGTCTTTCGGGTGGCAAAGGTCGACAGCAAGCTAGACAAATGGCCGGGAGCTTACTCCGGCCTGGGCTGGCTTCAAACTTTCAATCTTTCGGTCAGTAGTGATTTTTAATGCAGCTGACACCCAACCAGCTGTGCCACAATCTTTATCCTTTGTTCATATAGGCATTAAATGTTTGCCTTAAGGGTTAAAAGTTTCTTTAAGCTCTATTTATCATATTGGAAGCTGCCCTGAGTCCCCTTGGGGAGATAGAGCAGTTTACAAATAAAGTTTTATTATTGTTAGTAGTAGTATTACTTAATACGTGTAATGAAAATATTGTGGATATTGAAGAATCAGTATGGTATCACAATTTCTCTTGTCTATTCCCCTAAAAGGCCTTAAAGGTTAAAAGTTTCTTTAAGCTCTCTTTTCACTGAATATCTATCTTAAGAGTCAAATTTAATTGGGAAAGTATGGCCTTGGAATGTACTAGAGGTTGTCCCAATTATCCAGTATTCACCTGGTTGGGTAGCCTGGCCAGTGACTGCTTTTTATGTTTTCAGTAGAGTACCAACCTTCTTCAAGCCTAGTAATTTGTTTGTATATAATTGTGTTTGTTTACTGTATTGTATATGTATGTTTTGGCATGCAGCTTTCCCTTTACTCTATGTTTCTTGAGGTTGTGGGAGGGACTGCAGACCACATGATCAGATTTGAGACTGCTCAGACTCCATTAGACTCTAAGACTGTTAAGACTGTCTCTTATTTGCTTAGACTTTGGACAATTAAGAGCAAACTCATGTTGCTGTTGACTGGAAAAAAAGATGCCTTGTGTTATCTCCACAGAGAAACTACTTCAAATCTATCTGTAACTGGATTGATTAGTCTGTATGCTGAATACATGAAGGTTGTGAGTAAACCAAATATGTTTAATGAAGTCTACTTTATTTTTGTTTTCTGCGAGCATGTTATAGAAACAAGATATTTTATGGGAGAGTAAATGTTTTTTGGGCACTAAAAAAAACACTTCATTTCAGTAGCCCGATTGAAGGTCTAAGTATGATTGAGATACAACTATGAGCTCTATCAAATTAGACAAAGTACTTGGGCAACTGAGGTGTCTATATAAGTCAAGGGAAGTCAGCTTTACGCTGAACTTCTCTACAGATCAAGATTAGTGTTGTAAATTAAAATATAAAAGCCCTAAATAAATAAATAAATAAATAAATAGGCCATTGGGGCACCACTTCCTACTGTTCTTGAAGTTCCCAACAGGCAGACTGACGGATATATTTGCTTGATTCGTATACTTTCGGTGGTGCTTTGCCTATTTTTCAGTAAAGCCTTGTACTCTTAACCACGTGTATATTTATCGCCTTTAAATCCAAAAAGAACCCACTTGCTTTTGGCCAAACAATATGCAAGTTTCCTTCTCCACTTCAGAGGGTTTCTCATTCAAATACTTTGTGGCCCTTAGAAGTTATTTAGGAGGCACAGATTTTTAGGGGATGTTACTTCCGGGCAAGGGCCCCCTGGTGGTACAGCGGGTTAAACCGCTGATCAGCTGAACTTGCTGACCAAAAGGTTGGTGGTTTGAATCCGGGGAGCGGGGTGAGCTCCCGCTGTTAGCCCCAGCTTCTATTCTGCCAACCTAGCAGTTCGAAAATATGCAAATGTGAGTTGATCAATAGGTACGCTTTGGCGGGAAAGTAACCGTGCTCCATGCAGTCATGCCGGCCACATGACCTTGGAGGCGTCTATGAACAAGGCCGCTCTTCCGCTTAGAAATGGAGATGAGCACCAACCCACAGAGTTGGACACGACTGAACTTAATGCCAGACGAAACCTTTACCTTTACCTTACTTTCGGACAGATGTAGGACAACGGGGTGGTCACACAATGGTATCTGGTGGCCCATCAGGTGCTTCTCTAGTCATGCAATTTAAGTATCTTAACATGTGAGCATACTTCAGGAAATAAAGCCTGGCTGCTCATTGGAGGGAAGAATATTAGAGGCAGAGATGAAGTACTTTGGCTACATCTTCCAACTCTATGATCCTATGATTCTGTTCTAAGAGTAGAGACATCACACTGGCAACAAATATCTGCATAGTAAAAGCAATGGTAATCCTCGTAGTAACCTATAGATGTGAGAGCTGGACCATAAGGAAGGCTGAGCGAGGGAAGATAGATGCTTTTGAACTGTGATGCTGGAGGAAAATTTTGAGCGTGACTTGGACCGCAAGAAGATCAAACCAGTTCATACTCCAGGAAATAAAGCCCGACTGCTCATTGGAGGGGAGAATATTAGAGGCAAAGATGAAGTACTCTGGCCACATCATGAAAAGACAGGAAAGCTTGGAGAAGATAATGATTCTGGGGAAAATTGAAGGAAAAAGGAAGAGGGGCCAACCAAAGGCAAGATGAATGGATGCTATCCTTGAAGTGACTGGCTTGACTCTGAAGGAGCTGGGGGTGGTGACAGATAACAGGGAGCTCGGGCATGAGCTGGTCCATGAGGGCACGAAGAGTCGGAAGTGACTGAACGAATAAACAACAACAAACAGTGAGCAATATGGGGTAGGAGAAACTCTAATGTTATGTCTATCTAGCTTTGCATGACATAGCCACACTGCCCCACACTGGTGGTCTTTCCCACTCACCCATGTCTTCTGTCTCTCTGCTCTTTACCCACCAATCCATCGCAATGCTCTTTCTCTTTCACCCAACTAAGTGATATTTCTCTCTTCTTACCATGCTAGTAGTATTTTTCATTCTTCAAGTACCCCCAGTTGACCTTTCTTCTCTCCTTGACCCTGTTGATTTATCTCTCTTTGAAAGTTCATCCAATCAGTGAGTAAGCATCACAGTATTCTTATTCCTCTCTCTCTTCCAATCTTTCTTACATATTTGAAAAGGTTGGGCCCCTGCGGAGGGATGCAGTAGTTATGGCCAGCATGTTGATCCCCTATTGCACTTCTGCTTCCACCTAGAGGCCCTCTGGATAAATAAATATGTCAGGCTTGACTAGTCCCTCGGCATTTGTGGGTTAAGCATTCACAGATTTGATTACTCATGGATTACTGTATTTGCTGCTCTAATTGTGGCTGGGGGGAAAAAGGATATTCTCTGTGGACATTTCTAGGTCCTCCAGTGGAATTCTATGATTAACTTCCCCAAAGTTTTTTTTGTCCACATTAGTTCAGTTCTGAAATCTTTATGGAGGTTTAGAAAAGAGCTTTATTTGTCTAAGGACCTTTCCACACAGCCATATAATCCAGAATATCAAAGCAGATAATGCACAATATCTGCTTTGAACTGGATTATCCAGTTCCACACTGCCATATAATCCAGTTCAATGTGGATGGTATACAATTGGGTGGAAGGGGCCTAATACTTACCATTGTAAAGGTTCACATCCTCCTCTGTAATGCTGGAATTGGCCCCCCAAACCACCATTTTGTGGATAAGATCTGGATATTTTGCAGCAGCAATAAGTGCAGTTATCCCGCCGTCACTCCATCCCAGCAGAGAGAATTTCTTAAACTTCAGAGCCTAAATAATAATAATATTATAATAATAATAATAATAATAATAATAATAATAATAATAATGCGGTTTTCTGGCATTGTATATTTCCGCCGCTTCTGTGATTGTTAATTTGTATTTTGATTCTGTAGCCCACTTGTTGATGGATGTCCAGAATCAGCAGCATCCACCACGGTCCTTTTTATCCTGGGCGTCGACCGAGCCAGTATAGACTTCGATTTGGTTTGTTTCTCCATAGTACTAATGGGTTAGGTGCTCTTCATTCCACTCCTCAGCTGAGACCTCTCTGGCTTGGTTGGACCTGCTGGTAGTTACACTACCGCCAGCACAGCTCTCAGCATCCTTGGAGCAGTTAAGCCCCCCCACCAGGAGCATTGGATGGGCAGATCCTTGACAACATTGATTGAAAAGTTGACAGGGAGAAGACCTGGTTATGGCTCATGAATGGAACATTGAAGAAGGAGACAGAAGGCCTGATTCTTGCAGCCCAGGAGCAAGCCATTAGAACCAATGCAATTAAGGTCAGGATTGAAAAATCAGCAGATGACTCAAAATGCAGACTGTGCAAGAAAGCTGATGAAACCATGCACCATATCTTCAGCTGTTGCAAGAAAATTACACAGATGGACTATAAACAGAGGCACAACTCTGTGGCCCAGATGATTCACTGGAACTTATGTCACAAGTACCAACTGACAGCAGTAAAGAATTGGTGGGATCATAAACCCGCAAAGGTTGTGGAAAATGAACATGCAAAAATACTGTGGGATTTTCGAATCCAGACTGACAAAGTTTTGGAAAACAATACACCAGACATCATGATTGTGGGAAAAAAAGTTTGGATTATTGATGCTGTCATACCAGGTGACAGCCTCATTGAGGAAAAACAACAGGAAAAACTCTGCCGCTATCAAGACCTCAAAATCGAACTGCAAAGGCTCTGGCATAAACCAGTACAGGTGGTCCCAGTGGTCATTGGTAAACTGGGTGCCGTGCCAAAAGATCTCAGCCACCATTTGAAAACAATAAACATTGAGAAAATCAAGATCTGTCAACTGCAAAAGGCCACCTTACTTGGATCTGCGTGCATCATTCGAAAATACATCACACAGTCCTAGACACTTGGGAAGTGTTCGACTTGTGATTTTGTGATACGAAATCAAGCATATAGATTTCGTTTGCTGTGACATACTGTGTTTCTGTGTCAGTAAAATAATAATAATAATAATAATAATAATAATAATAATAATAATAATAATGCAATTGAGGCCAGGATTGAAAAATCAGGTAATTACCCAAAATGCAGACTGTGCAAGGAAGCTGATGAAACCATGGATCATATCCTCAGCAAGAAAATCGCACAGATGGACTTCAAACAGAGGCACAACTCTGTGGCCCAAATAATTCACTGGAACTTATTATTATTATTATTATTAATAATAATAATAATAATAATAATAATAATAATAAAATAGAGTAAAATTATAAATGTAACAATGACAGACTAAAATAATAAATAACTTGGACTTAAGTATAAGCCGACAGGGACTTTTTCAGCCTGAAAAACTCGATCTATACTAAAGTATATACAGTATATTTTCTCTTTGCCCAACAATAGATGGGGACGCAGGGACTGAGATAGGCCCTTTCCACACTGTCCCTATATCCCAGGATCTGATCCCAGATTATCTGGCAGTGGGGACTCATATAATCCAGTTTAAAGCAGATAATCTGGGATCAGATCCTGGGATATATGTCAGTGCAAATCCAGCCACAGAGGACAGTAAAATTGAAATGCCAGTACCAGCCATAGAATAACTCCTCTTGGAATCTAGATTAGCAAAACAGATAATTCACATTATTTCCTTTGAACTGGATTAATGAGTCTACACTGCCATATAATCTAGTTCAAAGCAGATAATCTGGATTTCATATGGCCATGTCGACAGGGCCTGGGGTCCACAAACCTATATCAAAGCTGTAGTATAGTCGCAATCAAAAAGGGGTTATAGTAAAATATAAGAAAATATACAGGAGCCATGCAGCTTTCTTCAAAGGGAAATTTCTGCTAGGTTCAGTCACTTAGTGGCAATGCTGAGTTAAAATCCCAGAAGAATAAAATTAATCATTTCTCAGAACAATGTCTTACGTCAGCAGTTTCTTAGCATAAAAAAGATTTACCTGCATCAGGTCAACAGCATCTTTGGCATCTCTTTCGAAAAAATCTAGAGGAAAGTCTCGATCTGGTGGGATAGATTTCCCATACCCCCTTGGATCCCAAGCTACTAGAGTGAAGAGCTGTTTGTTCATAGACTTCAGTTGTGGTCCAAAGTCAGTCTGGCCACTTCCTAGGAAAAGGGAAAAAAATAGTCCAAGATTTTTACATCAAAGTATAAAATAAGTATGCAGGCCATAGGAGTCAATGAAGAACATGACCATATTGGTACTACAAATCCTCTTTGCACTTTTCCTTTTTGATGAAGGAGATTTCAACTTGAGACAATGTTGTGAATCCCATGTATTACTCAGTACATAGAAAACTGAGGGCCCTTCCAGGCAGGCCTTATATCCCATGATCTGATCCCTGGTTTTCTGCTTTAAACTGAATTATATGAGTCTGCACTGCCAGATAATCTGGGATAAACAGGAAACCTGGGATCAGATCCAGGGATATAGGGCCTGTCTGGAAGGACTCTGAAAAGGGGAAGTTAATCATGAGTCATACCTAAATCATAATTCTATTTATATATGTATCAAGAGCTATTTCCTTAAGATCAGTGATATAAGAATTCAACATCGCCTGAGCTCTGCGAGTGCAGCATTTTTCCGAATGAAGCAGAGAGTGTTTGAGGACCGGGACATCCGTAGGGAGACCAAGGTGCTTGTCTATAAAGCTATTGTCCTCCCAACCCTGCTATACGTTTGCGAGACGTGGACTGTCTACAGACATCACATGCAACTCCTGGAACGATTCCATCAGCGCTGCCTCCGGAAAATCCTGCAAATCTCTTGGGAAGACAAGTGGGCAAATGTCAGCATGCTGGAAGAAGCAAAGACCACCAGCACTGAAGCGATGGCCCTCTGCCATCAACTCCACTGGACTGACCATGTTGTCCGGATGCCTGACCACCGTCTCCCAAAGCAGTTGCTGTACTCCGAACTCAAGAATGGAAAAGGGAATGTTGGAAGACAGGAAAAGAGATTTAAAGATGGGCTCAAAGCCAACCTTAAAAACTCTGGCATAGACACTGAGAACTGGGAAGCCCTGGCCCTTGAGCGCTCCAGCTGGAGGTCAGCTGTGACCAGCAGTGCTGCAGAATTTGAAGAGGCACAAATGGAGGGCAAAAGAGAGAAACCTGCCAAGAGGAAGGCGCGTCAAGCCAACCCCAACTGGGACTGCCTTCCACCTGGCAACCGATGCCCTCACTGTGGGAGAAGATGCAGATCAAGAATAGGGCTCCTCAGTCACCTACGGACCCACTGCCAGGATACTACTCTTGGAGGACCATCATCCTCAGACTACGAGGGATCGCCTAAGTAAGTAAGTAAGAATTATCTTCATTCAGGTCCTCTCTAAACAGATCATGAACACACAAACATTTAAAAGACCATTTATATAATATCCTCAAAAGTATTTTTACTATTATTGTACACATATATTAGAGTTAAAGTTAAAGGTAAAGGTTTCCTCTGACATCAAGTCTAGTCGTGTCTGACTCTGGGGGATTGTGTTCATCTCTATTTCTAAGACGAAGAGCTGGCGTTGTCCATAGACACCTCCAAGGTAATGTGGCCGGCATGACTGCATGGAGTACCGTTACCTTCCTGCCATAGTGGTACCTATTGATCTACACACATTTGCATGTTTTCAAACTGCTATGTAGGCAGAAGCTGGGCGTAACAGCGGGAGCTTACTCTGCTTCCCAGATCTGAACCGCCAACCTTTCGGTCAGCAAATTCAACAGCTCAGCGGTTTAACCTGCTGTGCCACCGAGGGCCCAATATACATGGATATATCAGGCAATAAATATAAGCATCACGGAACATAAACAAGATTATTAGTTGCTTACTATTCAGATGTGCTGATATGAATAAACTGAAACAACATTTTAGATCAGTGGTTCTCAACCTGGGGTCCCCAGATGTTTTTGGCCTTCAACTCCCAGAAATCCTAACAGCTGGTAAACTGGCTGGGATTTCTGGGAGTTGTAGGCCAAAACATCTGGGGACCCCAGGTTGAGAACCACTGTTTTAGATGTTTACTATCAAATAAGCTTGGCCTGGATTTTGGTTCCTTCTTTACCGCCTTCCCCCATTTTTCCCCTGAAAGATGAGAAGGGTGTTATGATCAAAGTGCATAGCGCCATGAAATGGGTCATGTCTGCATGCTGTGTTTGCTTATTATGCAACTTGAGTTAACGATACTTTAACAAGGTACGGGGAAGCCTACACAAATGGACAATGAAATGTTTGAAGACAGTTTATTACTCTGATTTTTAACATAATCTTTGATTTGAAACATTTAAGCCAATGTTTACAGAACTTTGGAAAAACTAGGACAACTTTACCCCCGAAAGCTTGCATGTTGAAATGAAGCAAGCTGGGCTGGGGACTCTGAGTTGATTTTTCTGTGATAGGACCAAAAAAATGATACTAAAAATAAAATTTTAGTATCAGGCATCTAGTCAGAGATACCCTGTGACTTATTCCTACTTATTCTTTGACTTTATTCTATAAGAATTCAAATGAGCTGGGTAAAAACAGACAAAATTAATTTCAACAAGGAGAAATTTATGTTATTCTTCTTAGGTATTAAAAATGAAATGCACAAATACAGAATGGGTGACACCTGGCTTCACCTGGAATCCTGTGTCCAAATATGGGCACCACAATTCAAGAGGGATGCTGATAAGTTGGATGGTGTCCAGAAGAGGGTGATTAAAATGATCAAAGGTCTAAAGACTATGAATCCCTATGAGGAGCATCTTAAAGAGCTGGATCTGTTTAGCCTGCAGAAGAGAAGGCTGAGAGGAGACATGACAGCCATTTATAAATATGTAAAAGGATGTTATAAGGAAGAAGGAGCAGCCTTGTTTTCTGCTGCCCTGGAAACTAGGGTGATTTTCCTGCTTCTTGGCAGGGGGGTTGGACTGGATGACCCCCAAGGTGCCTTCCAACTCTATGACTCTAGGGGCCCTCCCACACTGCCCCTTTATCCCAGGATCTGATTCCAATTTTTTTTTGTTTATCCCAGGTTATCTGGCAGTAGGTTCTTATACATTCCAGTTTAAATCAGATAATTTGGGATCAGATCCTGGGATAAAGAGCAGTATGGAAGGGCCCTAGGGCTTGGGCGCAATGGGTTCAAATTACAGGAAGGAGATTCCACCTGAGCATTAGGAAGAACCTCCTGATCATGGGAGCTGTTCAACAGTGGAACTCTCTGTCTCAGAAAGCAGTGGATGCTCCTTCTTTGGAGGCTTTTAAACATAAGCTGGATGGCCATCTGTTGAGGTTGCTTTGATTGTGTTTTTTCTGCATGGGAGGGGGTTGGACTGGATGGCCCATGAGGTCTCTTCCAACTCTATGATTCTTAGGTATTAAAAATGAAATGCACAAATACAGAATGGGTGACACCTGGCTTCACCTGGAATCCTGTGTCCATACATATTTTACATACATATACATATGTAAAAGGATGTTATAAGATCCCAGATGCATAATACCGTATTTTGAGCTGCTCATTTTAAAAAGGGCACAGAAAAATTGGAGCAGGCTCAGAGAACAGCATCAAGAATAATGAGGTATGGAGAACACATACGATGAAAGTTTGAGGGAGCTAGACAAGGGCAGCTTGATGAAGAGAAAACTGAGGGATGACATGCCTCTAATGCTGTCATAGTTTTCTGCTGCCCCAGAAGTTAGAACCAGAACTAATCAATTTGAATTACACAGAATAATTTTTGATTGAACATTAGGCTTGGGCATTAAGATCTGCTGGGGAGGCCTTTTTGTCGGTCCCACCACCGTCTCAAGCACAATTGGTGGGGACGAGTGAGAGGGCCTTCTCGGTAGTGACTCCCCAGCTCTGGGAAACCCTTCCTAAAGAAATTAGATTAGCCCCCTCTCTTCAGGCCTTCCAGACAAGTCTAAAAACATGGCTCTTCAGACAGACCTTTGACCCTGAGTAATCCATGGCCAATGTGATGAATGATTGACAGTACTGGCCCACACTTTGATTGATTGTTATGACAGATAGCTGGCTGGCAGGTTCCAATTTCCTAAAATTTTATTAATGAGATTTTAGGCACTGTTAATTATACTTATGCCATTGTATTTATACTTATGTATTGTTGTCTGCATGTGGCATTTGGAGTGTTTCTGTGAGCCACCCTGAGTCCCTTTGGGGAGATGGTGGCAGAGTACAAATATGGTAAATGTTGTTGTTGTTAGGAATATCTTTACAGTATGAGTGCTTGGTCAATGGAACCAATTGCTTAGAGAGGTGGTGGGATCTCCTTCTGTAAACAGCTGCTGCTAAAGATCCTGCACTGAACAGGAAAATCCCTTCCAATTTTATGGTTCCTTGAGCTTTAGAGCAGAGGTTCTCAATCTTGCTAATTCCATGACCCTTAATACAATTCCTCATGTCGCAGTGATCCCCAACCATAATATTATTTTCATTGCTACTTCATAACTTAATTTTGCTACTGTAAATCATGATGTAAATATCTGATATGCAGGATGTATTTTCATTCACTTGACCAAATTTGGCGCAAATACCCAATACGCCCAAATTTGAATACTGGTGAGGTTGGAGGGGGATTGGTTTTGTCATTTGAGAGTTGTAGTTTCTGGGATTTATAGTTCACCTACAATCAAAGAGCATTCTGAACTCCACCAACAACGGAATTGAACCAAACTTGGCACACAGAAGTTCCATGACCAAGAAAATACTGGAAGGGTTTGGTGGGCATTGACCTTGAGTTTTGGAGTTGTCGTTCACCTACATCCAGAGAGCACTGTGGACTCAAACAATGATGGATCTGGACCAAACTTGGCAGAATACTCAATATGTCCAAATGTGAACACTAGTGGAGTTTGGGGAAAATAGACCTTGACATTTGGGAGTTGTAGTTGCTGGGATTTATAGTTCACCTACAAAAACAGCCTTCCTCTAGCCTGAGAGACCAGCCAATCACAGAAGGAGGGCTTTTGGTAGGAGGATTCTCTGTCTGTTTCCAAAAAGAAAAAGAGAAGAACAAACAGAGAGATTTTCAGCCTTCTCTGACAAAGGGGTTCCTAAGACCAACAGAAACATGTTTTCTGATGGTCTTTGGTGACCCCTCTGAAACCCCCTCGCCACCCCCCAGGGGTCCCAACCCTCAGGTTGAGAAACACTGCTTTAGAGAGTATAACATATTGGTCAGAATAGATCTAGGCCAAGGGAATCGGGGATGAAATTTTATCAGCTATGAAATTCAGTAGATGTGGTTTTGAACCCTCTTTGAGGAGATAAAGTGGGGTATAAATAATTTATTTATTTATTTATTATTTATTTATTACATTTATATGCCGCCCTTCTCAACCCAAAGGGGACTCAGAGCAGCTTACAAGTAAAAAGTAAATACAATATATCATATTATTACCATAGCACAATATTAATATTATACATTACATTGTACTATAACATATACAGTAATATTATTAGTAATATTGCATGTAATATAAAATATATAATTATAATATCATATTATTAGTAATATTATTATATTGTATTACATTATAATATTATCAATATTATATGTATATACAATATATTGTATTATATTGCATTATATTGCATTATATTGCATTATATTGCATTATATTGCATTATATTGCATTATATTGCATTATATTATATTATATTATATTATATTATATTATATTATATTATATTATATTATATTATATTATATTATATTATAAGCACAGTGCAGGAGACAAGATGGAACTGCCTTCCTGGCCCCTCTCTTCACTCTGATCTCAGAGCAGCTGTTGGTGCTGGGGGGGGGGGTCCCAACTGATGACACTGGAGGCAAGATGCAACTACCTTCATGGCCCTTCACTCTGATCTCAGAGCAGCGGTTGGTGATGGGGGAAGGGGGGCTCCCAACTGATGACACTGGAGGCAAGATGGAACTGCCTTCCTGGCCCCTCTCTTCACTCTGATCTCAGAGCAGTGGTTGGTGCTGGGGATGGGGAGGGGCTCCCAACTGATGACACTGGAGGCAAGATGGAACTGCCTTCATGGTCCCTCTCTTCACTCTCTTCACACATGATAATAATAATAATACCAGTAACCATAAATCAGCTGACCCTATTTCAGAGGATTTGTCAATCTTACTTCTTATAAATAAATATATCTACACTACAGACTCAGTTTCCTACACAATTAATCCTAAATGTTGCCAGTCTGTGAGAGACTGGGAATTGTAAGAATCTTGAGTGTGCATTCTAGTTCAAGAAAGGGAAACCTCTGATAAGTTCTACATAAAACGAAAGCTACAAACCTAGCATGCCAGGAAGTAGGAGGACAACGTGGTTTCCATCTCCTGTCCGCTGATAGTGCAGGTGGACACCATTCACTTCAACTTTTGCTGAGGTCACTGCAGTGCTAGAAAAAAAAAAATCCCCCCAAAGAAACATTCAGAATGTTAGTTCAATTGTATTGAAGCTGTTTAACAAATAGATCGCTATCGGTCACAGATGTTGACTTGCAATTGATATGAGAGATAATAATAATAATAATAATAATAATAATAATAATACTTTATTTATACCCCGTGACCATCTCCCCAAGGGGACTCGGGGTGGCTTACATGAGGCCAAGCCCAACAACACATCAGTAAAAACAAAACAGCAAGCAAATAAAACAGTACAATTAATATAACTTACATATAAACAATAACACAGAGAATTTAAAACCTTATGGCCAGGCCAGATGTAATAAATTAAAAAAATTAAAATAAACACTGGGTGTGAACAGAGGTAGGATGTATCTAAGCAGGAGGGTTTTAAAAGATAATGTAGGGAGACCAACCCAATGGGTAGTAAAGTGCTTCTGAGATACCTGAGTGTGTGGCGTGTGTACAAATGCTCAGAGTCCCAAGAATACCTTTCTACTAAAAATAGAAGCAAATACCTCGATTTAAAATAAAGCAATGAGAAGCAGTTAACAGCAGACTGGACTCTCAAGTGAACTTGGAATACTTAGTATTAATGCTAATATATTAACACTAACATGGATATTCATCACAGATGTTAATAATTTCAGTGAATTCTACAGAACTAAGCAGTTATAGTAGCCATTATAATGTTACATTTTCATAGTTACATTTCCCCCTTCAAAAGTCTATTATTATTATTATTATTATTATTATTATTATTATTATTATTATTATTTAATCCAGGCATCAACTCCCCATCCCCAAAACTGACAAACCAAAGTAATGGGTGACACATTAATTCCAAGCTTAAGGACTATGAGCATTTTCTCCATGATGTGAGTATATTTTATGACTTGGGATTGTGATTCATTGACAGAAGATAGGCTCTAGTTTGGCATCACTGCAGAAAAGATCTAAAACACTATAAAAGACTTTTTGTGATTAAGGACTGAAGATCTGCATGTACCAGAATATATTACCCCTTGCTATACCATCAAATAATAAATTCTGCCTTCTACTAAGGCACTATAGTAAAGCCCTACATGGTTTGGGTTCAAGTTACCTACAAGATTGCCTTCTCCTGCACAATTTGCACTTTAGGACACTGAGATCCTCTGGTGTGTGGGTACTCCAACCAGCAGGAAATCCCACATTATCTGAGTGTGGACTCAGATAACCCAGTTCAAAGCAGATATTTTGGGATTTTCTGCCTTGATATCCTGAAATACAGGGCTGTGTGGAAGGGCCCTTCTGTTTAAACTGCTCACCCTCTGACCCTGACAGTGTTAAATGCTGAGTTTTAAGATCATTGAAGGCAAAAGTATGATAGCTGGGACTCAATGATGGTTGCATAACGTGGATCAGAATTATACTCACACAGCAAGTGAGAGACACTGATGCCTGCTATAAACTTAACTATTGCTAACTGCCACTTTTTACCATTCTTCACTATTCCTCAAACTTAACTTAATTAGATGTGGATGAAGCGTGCTATAAACTTAACGCTGTCGCGGGCACATCTTCGCTTCTCTAATTCCGACCCACATTGTGCGACCAGCATTGGGTCCCAGCTATCATACTTTAGCTTCATTTTTAAAAAATCCATAAGTGGACTGGTTCTTTTTTAGGTAGTGGAGCAATCCAAGTGGACTATGGAGGTATCCAAACAGTAGGTAACTGGTCCCCAGACCAGGCAAAATTGCCCATAATAGAGCAGTAAGGGATTTGCATATGTAAATAACTTTTGATGAAGACTGTCTTTACTGAAGTGGACCTTGGGAATGCCTTAAGATGCTCACGGCATGCTCAGAAAGTGAATCCTTCTGTACACAGAATTGTATTCTATTGCTTCAACAAATTGAAACAAAGGTTTATAACTTGATAGTTCCCACTGTGTTGGGAGGTCATTTGAACAATAAATAGAAATCAAGAAAATAAGGTTATCTCACGCGTGGCTATTCAAGGAATCTCATAGTGTCCTTCTGTTGTTTAAGGTTCAAAATGTTCTCTGCTCTTTGTCCAGAATAGATAAGAGAGAAAAGATCCCGTCATACCTAATCTGCAAGAAGAACCGGAATAGCCGCAATGTCATCTTTCTCTCAAACTCTCATAAGTATCAAGACTTTAATTATATGTCCAGGCTATCTCCAGATGTTAATCGCTGTGACCCAGCAGCTGAGAAAAGTTGTAGGCGGGTCCTCCAAAAAAATCCCCCAGATACTGCTTCTATTTCATCATCGGGACAGCAGCAGATGATGAAATAGAAAGACCATAAAGTCTTCTCTCTCCCATTTATTACAGCTTCGGCATGGAGCGATTGACCTTCAAGACAATCACTTTTTGCCAAGCTGCCCCAATGAGAAACGGCGATATGCCGATGACAACGTCATCTGTGCGCATTCAGAAAAAGACATACAATCCACTCTAAACACCTTTGCAGACGCATACGAGAAGCTCGGCATGTCACTGAACATCGAGAAAACCAAAGTGCTCTTCCAGCAGTCACCAGCCAATCCGTCCACAATGCCAGAAATACAGCTTAATGGTGTTAACATTGGAAAATGTTGACCATTTCTGCTACCTTGGCAGCCACCTCTCCACAAAGTCAACATTGACACTGAAATACAACACTGCCCGAGCTCTGCAAGTGCAGTCTTTTCCCGAGTGAAGCACAGAGTGTTTGAAGACCGGGACATCCGTAGGGATACCAAAGTGCTTGTTTGTAAAGCTATTGTCCTCCCAACCCTGCTATATGCCTGCGAAACGTGGACTGTCTACAGACATCACATGCAACTTCTGGAATGATTCCACCAGAGGGCCCCATTTGCTTTGACAATCTTATATGGCTGTGTGGAAGGGCCGTCAGGCTGGATCCACACTGCCCTATATCCTAGGCTCTAATCCTATATTATATGCTTTGAACTGGATTATATGAGTCCACACTGCCAGATAATCTGGGATAAGTAGATAATCTGGGATCAGATCTTGGGATATAGATCCAGCTTCATTCTTTATATGCAAACATTCCAAAATCAGAAGAAACAAAATCCACCCAAAATCCAAAACACTCATTTCAGATCAAAGACATACAAACAAATTGGTATTAATGTACAAGCATGTGGACAATTTCAACAGAAAGGAGGAGACCATGAAAATGAACAAACTCTGGCTTCCAGTATTAAAAAACTCTAAAATTACAACAGCAAAACAGCAGAGAGGAAACAACCAGGCACATCTTAACACCTCTCAACAAAAGATTCCCAGGCTCAGCCAGGCCTTCAAATGCTAATGAAGGTGGTCAGTTGAAACATTCACACCTACCTCCAGCAGAGAAGAGCTCTTTGCCCCACCCCAGTCATTCCACAGATATATAAACCCATTTCCTAATTCCAACAGACCTCACTACCTCTGAGGATGCTTGCCATAGATGCAGGCGAAATGTCAGGAGAGAATGCCTCTAGAAGTGTTTCTCAACCTGGGGGTCGGGACCCCTGGAGGGGTCGCAAGGGGGTGTCAGAGGGGTCACCAAAGACCACAAGAAAACACAGTATTTTCTGTTGGTCATGTGGGGTTCTGTGTGGGAAGTTTGGCCCAATTCTATCATTGGTGGGGTTCAGAATGCTCTTTGATTGTAGGTGAACTATAAATCCCAGCAACTACAACTCCCAAATGTCAAGGTCTATTTTCCCCAAACTCCACCAGTGTTCACATTTGGGCATATTGAGTATTCGTGCCAAGTTTGGTCCAGTCCATTGTTTGAGTCCACAGTGCTCTCTGGATGTAGGTGAACTATAACTCCCAAACTCAAGGTAAATGCCAAATAATCCTTTATTTTCTGTTGGTCATGGGAGTTCTGTGTGCCATGTTTGGTTCAATTCCATCGTTGGTGGAGTTCTGATTGCTCATTGATTGTAGGCGAACTATAAATCCCAACAACTGCAACTCCCAAGGACAAAATCAAACCCCCTCAACCCCATCAGTACTCAAATTTGAGCGTATTTGTGCCAAATTTGGTCCAGCTAATGAAAATATATCCTGCATATCAGGTATTTACATTACAATTCATAACACAAGCAAACTTACAGTTGTGAAGTAGCAACAAAAATAATTTTATGTCTTGGGGGTCACCACAACATGAGGAACCGTATTAAGGGGTCGCGGCATTAGGAAGGTTGAGAACCACTGCTCTAGAACATAGCCCGGAAAAACCCACAAGAACCTAAATTGGTATTATTCTGCTGTTAAAAGGTTGCATTCAGAAATCCAAGAACCCTGGTGGACTTTGACCTCCATATAATCCAGGTTATCACAGCAAATAATCCATTTATCTGCTTTGAACTGGATTATATGAGTCTTCACCAAGCATGGGCAAACTTGGGCCCTCCAGGCGTTTTGGACTTCAACTCCCACCATTCCTAACAGCCGTAGGCTGTTAGGAATGGTGGGAGTTGAAGTCCAAAACGCCTGGAGGGCCCAAGTTTGCCCATGCTTGGTGTAGAAACAATGCAGTTTGGCTTTACTTGCATTTACACATTGCTGGGGAGGCTGTAGTTTGGGTGTAAGCACTGCTGCTGTGGAGCAGAGAAGGCTCTTGCTGAACTACAACTCCCAGAATCCTATAGCCTTAGAAACTTCCACGCCCTCCAGTTCCTACAGCGAGCCAACCTTGGTCAGCAACCAGAGGCGAGTGAGCAGGCTGCCCTTTCCACCCTTCGCCTTGGTCCCTTTGTGAGCAGGCTTTTACCTGTAGAGAGCGGTGGGCGCCCTCGGGGGAGAAGGGGAGAGGTGGGCCAAGAGGTGGCGCAGCACACTGGAGCCTCTGGAGCGAGCCATCTTCCCGGAAAGCCTGCCTGCCGCTCGGCCTCCGTCTGGCAACGCCCCCGGTGGCTCCCTCCCTGCAGGAAGCAAGGGGCTGCCAAGCCAGCAGAGAGAGTCTCGCCGGCCCAATCGCTGGCCAGCGCCGCCCCCAGGCTTTGTGCCGCCTGAGACACTCACTCACTCACTCATTGGGAGAATCCTACAGCTGGAAGAGACCCAAAGCCAGAGGCTCCACCACCCACTATTTATTTATTTATTATTTACTTCGCTTATATACCGCAATTCTCAGCCTAATGGCGACTCATTGCGGTGTACAACATAGAAAAACAGGTGCAAAATACAAACATAAAAAAATAATCCACAGTACATCATTATCAAAACATCTCATCAAAAACATCAACATTATTACAAAGCCATTCCGAGTCGTCTCATCGTCAAGTTCGCAATCCGATACCATTTCCGTAGTTCCATTCCTAAGGTCAAGTTACCAGTCATTGCACTTCTATTCAAATGCCTTCTTAAACAGCCAGGTCTTTAGCTTCCTGCGGAATATCAACAGGGAGGGGGCTAGCCTGATGTCCACGGGAAGGGTGTTCCACAGCCGAGGAGCCACCACCGAGAAGGCCCTATCTCTCGTCCCCGCCAGCCGTGCCTGTGATGCAGGCGGGATCGAGAGCAGGGCCTCCCCGGAAGATCTCAAAGTCCTCGTGGGCTCATAGGCCGAGAGGCGGTCAGTTAGGTATCTTGGGCCGGAACCGTTTAGGGCTTTATAGGCCAATGCCAGCACCTTGAATTGAGCCCGGTAGCAGATCGGCAGCCAGTGGAGCTGGTACAGCAGGGGGGTTGTATGCTCCCTGCGTCCCGCTCCTGTTAGTATCATGGCTGCCGCACGTTGGACCAGTTGGAGCTTCCGGGCCGTCTTCAAGGGCAACCCCACGTAGAGAGCGTTGCAGTAGTCTAAACGGGATGTAACCAGAGCGTGGACTACCATGGCCAAGTCAGACTTCCCAAGGTATGGGCGCAGCTGGCGCACGAGCCTAAGTTGTGCAAATGCTCCCCTGGTCACCGCCGAGACCTGGGGCTCCAGGCTCAGCGATGAATCCAGGATCACACCCAAGCTGCGAACCTGCGCCTTCAAGGGGAGTGCGACCCCATCCAGCACAGGCTGTAACCCTATACCCTGTTCGGCCTTGCAACTGACCAGGAGTACCTCACTATTCTACTACCCAACAGCTCTGGCTCAGAGGCCCCATCTACACTGCTACATAATCCAGTTTCTGGATCCAGGTGACTCTATGCGCCCTATATCTCTGGATCTGATCCCAGAAGATAATCTGGCAGAATGGAAAAGCTGGAAGGTGTCTCCAGGAGGGTGACTAAAATGATCAAGAGTCTGGAGGACAAGAAGAGACCCCCAGAAATTAGCGATTGGATAGAAAAAGTTATAGATATTAAAAATATGGACAGGTGAACATACCTAAGATCAAAAAAACAAAGGGACCCCAATAAAAGAAACTGACTGGACAAAAGTGACAAATTATTTGAAACAGAAAAATGGAAATATAATAATATAAAAGGAAGGGAAAACAGGAGAGAAGAAAAGACAAGATAAAAGAAAGAAGAGGAAAAATCACTTGGAAGATACTCAGGAAGTCAATAAAGGAGACTACACCACCCTGCTCCTAATTTTCTTCTTTTTCTCTCTCTTTCTTTCCTCCTCCTCCTCTTCTTCTTCTTCTCCTTCTCCTCCTCCTCCTCCTTCTTCTCCTCCTTCTTCTCCTCCTTCTCCTTCTCCTCCTCCTCCTCCTCCTCCTTCTTCTCCTCCTTCTCCCTCTCCCTCTCCCTCTCCTTCTTCTTCTTCTTCTTCTTTTCCTCTTTAAGTGCTATGATATATTTCTCTCTTTTTTCTTTCTTCTTTCTTTTTTTTCTTTCTTAACATTTTTGCATTGTTAAAAAAAAAAGAAAACTTTCAATAATTTTTTAAAAAAAGAGTCTGGAGAACAAACCCTATGAGGAATGGCTTAAAGAGCTGGGCATGTTTAGCCTGAGAGGAGACATGATTGGGTTGTTGTAAGTTTTTTTGGGCTATATGGCCATGTTCTAGAGGCATTCTCTCCTGATGTTTCGCCTGCATCTATGGCAAGCATCCTCAGAGGTAGTGAGATCTGCTGGAACTAGGAAAATGGGCGAAACGTCAGGAGAGAATGCCTCTAGAACATGGCCATATAGCCCGAAAAAACCGACAACAACCCAGTGATTCCGGCCATGAAAGCCTTCGACAATACATTGAACATCTCTACGGAGACATGATTATTTATTTATTTATTTATTCAAAACATTTATATTCCACCCTTCTCACCCCAAAGGGGACTCAGAGCATATACACGGCAAACATTCAATGCCGGGATACAAATATGCATACACATACATAAGTATTAAAAAACATTTATCAAAATATTAAAATACACCATTTCAAACCGTCCTAGTTGTCCGCGTCAAATCTAATTGGCCTGGTCATCTTTCCTATTGCCACTTTATTGCCCTGTCCTGAAAGCTTGGTCCCACAGGGGGCCGACCTGATCTCACCAGGAAGGGAGTTCCATAGCCAAGGAGCAAGCACTGAGAAGGCCCTGTCTCTCGTCCCCACCAGTTGCGCCTGTGACAATGGCGGGATGGAAAGCACGGCCTACCTGGAGGATGTTAATCTCTGCGATGGTACATAGGGCCATGTATCAAGATAAAATAGTGAAGAGTTAGAGACATCACACTGGCAACGAAGATCTGCATAGTAAAAGCAATGGTATTCCCTATAGTCACCTACGGACGTAAGAGCTGGACCATAGGGAAGGCTGAGCGAAGGAAGATAGATGCTTTTGAACTGGGGTGCTGGAGGAAAGTTCTGAGAGTGCCTTGGACAGCGAGAAGCTCCAACCAGTCCATACTTCAGGAAATAAAGCCCTACTGCTCATTGGAGGGACGAATAGTAGAGGCAAAGATGAAGTATTTTGGCCACATCATGAGAAGAAAGGAAAGCTTAGAGAAGAGAATGATGCTAGGAAAAATGGAAGGAAAAAGGAAGAGGAGGCGACCAAGGGCAAGATGGATGGATGGTTTCCTTAAAGTGACTGGCTTGACCTTGAAGGAGCTGGGGGTGTGACGGCCGACAGGGAGCTCTGGCGTGGGCTGGTCCATAAGGTGAAGAAGAGTCGGAAACAACTGAATGAATGAACAACAACAACAACATCAAGATGTGAGGGGAAGTCATGGGGAGGAGCGAGCAGGCTTCTTTTCTGCTGTCCTGGAGACTAGGAACAATGGCTTCAAACTACAGGGGAAAAAATCCCACCTGAACATTACGAAGAACTTCCTAACTGTGAGAGCTGTTCAGCAATGGAACTCACTGCCCTGGAGTATGGTGATAGGCGCCTTCAGTGGAGGCTTTTAAGCAGAGGCTGGATGGCCACCTACAGGGGATGCTTTGAATGCAATTTACGACCCCCTGCCAAGAAGCAGGGAAATCGCATTCAACCCCCCCCCCCCCCCCACACACACACACACAGATGGCCACCCTGCTTCTGTTTAAAAGCCTCCAAAGAAGGAGCCTCTACCACACTCTGGGGCAGAGAGTTCCACTGCTGAACAGCTCTCACAGCCAGGAAGTTCTTCCTAGTGTTCACATGGAATCTCCTTTCTTGTAGTTTGAAGCCATTGTTCCACATCCTATTCTCCAGGGCAGCAGAAAACAAGCGTGCTCCCTCCTCCCTATGACTTCTTCTCACATATTTATACATGGCTATCATGTCTTCTCTCAGCCTTCTCTTCTTCAGGCTTCTTCAGAGAGTAGAGTTTTCTGTCTGTCTCTCATTTCTTATTCATTTAATTTTTACAAGATTGTTAAACATTTCTTAATTGACTGTCCAGCATATACTGAACTGCGAGACAGATATTTACATCCAATATTATCCAACTGCAGGTCCCCCAACAGAAATGATATTCTGACATCCCTCTTGCAAGGGCAGGAAAGATCCAACATAATCAGAATAAGCCCGTGTTGGACAGGGTTTCGCTCCCCCTGAAGATGCAGGTTTGCAGCTTGGGTGTGATCCTGGATTCATCGCTGAGCCTGGAACCCCAGGTTTTGGTGGTGACCAGGGGAGCATTTGCAGTTAAAACTTGTGCGCCAGCTGCGCCCATACCATGGAAAGTCTGACTTGGCCACGGTAGTCCATGCTCTGGTTACATCCCGTATATACTACTGCAATGCACTCTGCGTGGGGTTGCCTTTGAAGACTGCCCGGAAGCTTCAAATGGTCCAACGGATGGCAGCCAGATTACTAACAGGAGCGGTGCTCAGAGAGCATACAACTCCTCTGTTGCACCAGCTCCACTGGCTGCCAGTCTGCTACCGGGCACAATTCAAAGTGCTGGCTTTAGCCTATAAAGCCCTAAACAGTTCTGGCCCAATTTACCTTTCTGAACACATCTCCCCTTATGAACTGCTAGGACTTTAAGATCATCTGGGGAAGCCCTGCTCTTGATCCCGCCTACGTCACAAATATGTTTGGTGGGGACGAGAGACAGGGCCTTCTCAATGGTGGCCCATCGGCTATGGAACGGCCTTCCTAGAGATGTTAGATTGGCTCCCTCCCTCTTAACATTCTGGAAAAGAGTCAAGACCTGGCTATTCGAGCAAGCGTTTGAAAATGCAATGTAAGAGACATAGGAACTTGGAACGACTGGACGACGAGATGAATAATGTTTTTAATTAGGAGACACAAATGTCTTATGTTTTTATTACTTATGTTTGGTTTTATACTATGTATTAATGCTGGGAAGCCCTGGCCCTTGAGCGCTCCAGCTGGAGGTCAGCTGTGACCAGCAGTGCTGCAGAATTTGAAGAGGCACAAATGGAGGATGAAAGAGAGAAACGTGCCAAGAGGAAGACGTGCCAAGTCAACCCCGACCGAGACTGCCTCCCACCTGGAAACCAATGCCCTCACTGTGGGAGAAGATGCAGGTCAAGAATAGGGCTCCACAGCCACCTACATACCCACCGCCAGTACACCAATCTTGGAAGACAATCCTACTCAGACAACAAGGCATCGCCTAAGTAAAGTAAGTAATGTTTTAAATGTTTTATGATGTTCTTGGGCATCGAATCAGTGCCTCTGTAAACTACCCTGAGTCGCCTGAGGGCTGAGAAGGGCAGTATACAAATATAGTAAGTAAATAAATAAATAAATAAAATGAGTGATATATACAACACTATTGTCCGCTTTAACCCAAGAGGATCCTACCAATGAAATGACCACCTATTTAATAAATAAATTACAAACAATATTTTTCCTTGGTCTTGTTCTTTTTCATTTCATTCTCATTGGTTTCACATATCTGAAATAAAATTATTCCCATGTTAAAATCAATATACAATGTCATTTATGGATTTGAGACATGACACTAGTGCTGACAGTAATAATAATGATCCAGAATGAACTCAGGAAAGAATAGCCCTGTGCCCATTTATATTTTTTTATTAAAAGTATGCAAATGCATAAACCATTTGGCAACATGTTGTAAAATATCGATTCCTCTTTTCTTATTTTATGGTGTCGTTGCATAGAGAGTAGGTTTGATAATAAAAATCAGGTGAGCCTAGCTGAAAGAAGAAAAATCACATTTTTTATCATTGTTATTCCGGCAGCATCATGGTGAAGATCTGGCAGCAGTCAAAGCATTTCTTATGGCAATGAAAGGGAAAAGCAAACACATGTTACTTGTAGAAAAGTTGTCTTTCAAAAAGCAGAGTTCTCCGGATGTCTCTCATTTCTTATTCATTTCGACTCCTTGTTAATTTTGACAAGACTGTTCAAAAGGTCTATCCTGTGGCATGCATGGAGAGCTAAGGCCAGCTTCCCCACGGTTGCCCCTTTGCTACCTTGTCGCATTAGCCACCGCTGAAACATTTGGTAAACTTTCTCTTTGAGTCCATCACGTTCGTAGTCATGGTCAATTTCATCCAACTCTGCATCACTGAAACCCAGTTTACGGGCACAGTCTTTCCAGTGCTTTCCCACACTGTCCCTTACGATGTTGAGATGTGTGTCAGAAACAACAGTGGTGCTCTCTGGTGGTAGAGAAAGGAAGGGAGTACATTCAGTAACAGAACAGATTTTCCTCTTTTCTCTATACACTTTTAATGCCTGAAAAGTGTATAGAAGCAGATAAAGAAGCCTGAATCCATCAGAACATAAAATATTTACTCTTTTGATTCAAAATTCCCCGAAAGAAAAGAGTTACAGAAAGTCACAACATTCCAAGCTGCAAAACTTTAGGAGCTGACGTCAAATTATAGTCACTTTTAGGAAATCTTTGTTCTACTCTGCTCCCAACATCCAGCCATCACGTGAAGCAGCTTTACATGCTCTGGGCCGGGCTTTAACACAGCAGGATAATTGCCAGCTGCAGTTAATCTTGCCAACTGAAAGTTTGACAGTTCAAAGCTAAGGTCAGGCTGAGCTCCTGGTCTTTAGCCCAGTTTCTGCCTACCTAGCAGTTTCGAAAACAGTAATGTGAGTAGGCAAATAGGTACCACTTAAGCAGGGAGGTATTTAAGGTGCCCATAAGGAAATGCCAGAAAAATGCTGGCTATTCGAGCAGTTTCAAAAAGAGTAATCTGAGTAGGTAAATAGGTAAAGCAGTAATGTGAGTAGGTTAATCTTGCCAACCGAAAGCTGACAGTTTAAAGCCAAGGTTGGGCTGAGCTCCTGGCCTTTAGCCCAGTTTCTGCCTTCCTAGCAGTTTCGAAAATAGTAATGTGAGTAGGTAAATAGGTACCGCTAAAGCAGGGAGGTATTTAAGGCGCCCATAAGGAAATGCCAGAAAAATGCCAGCGATTCGAGCAGTTTCGAAAACAGTAATATGAGTAGGTAAATAGGTACCGCTTAAGCAGGGAGGTATTTAAGGTGCCCATAAGGAAATGCCAGAAAAATGCCGGTGATTTGAGCAGTTTCGAAAACAGCAATGTGAGCAGGTAAATAGGCACTGCTTAGTCAGGGAGGTATTTAAGGCACCCATAAGGAAATGCCAGAAAAATGTTGTTGATCCGATCAAGGAAGAACTTTATGAGCAAAAGCTCTTTGACAGGGAAAGCGGAGAAACAGCACCATCCCATGGCCAGGATCAAGCATACCTCCAAGATGCCAAAGATGGGAAAGCCTATACACACCTCTATCTATATACAATTGTTTGTTTTGTCAGTGTATAATGGCATCGAATGTTTGCCGTGTATGTGTTCTGTGATCCACTCTGAGTCCCCTTCGGGGTGAGAAGGGCATAATACAAATACTGCAAATAAATAAATGTCTGCTTGCTTGTGTTGTGAGGTTCTTTCCAAGGGAAAGTCCTGATCCATTCGGGAAAAATCTACATATGCAATTGTGAGTACATGCACAGATCTGCTTCACACAATGGTCAAAAGCCTAGCCATTTTGTGTGCTTTTAAGAGATTAGTTTTGCCCAAACCACTCTAGTAATAAATCTGCTGCTCACTGCATTTCTAACCTGCCCTACATCCAAGGAGGACAAGCCTGCACCAATTATATCGTGTTGGCTTTTCTTGATGCCTGGGCAAGCCAAGCATTCCTAGCCCACCATCTATTTTGATTTGTCAGAAACAGTCCAGATGAATCCTCTGTTGTCCCAATTACCTGTTCCTTTCTCACTTTTGGTCCTCAGCTTACTTATTTTGCTGCAAACTGAGTACAAAGTATATAAGTGGTTTGCACTCAATTAATTCAGGAGGAGGCTCAGTATACTCAGGCAAATGCAAACTGCTGCTACCTCACTTTATCTATTCTTCCTTGTCAATGACTTTTACCATCTTGAGTGCACTCTTTTGTCGCTTATGTTTGTTTGTTTGTTTGTTTATTTATTTACTTCATTTATATACGGCTTTTCTCAGCCTTCAGGCTGATTTTCATTTGTGAAAGGTTAGAGCAGGGGTCCTCAAACTAAGGCCCGGGGGCCGGATACGGCCCTCCAAGGTCATTTACTCGGCCCTCACTCAGGGTCAACCTAAGTCTGAAACAACTTGAAAGCACACAACAACAACAACAACAACAACAACAATCCTGGAGTCTTCCTCAAGCCAGGCAACTCCACACACCCCTGACACCAAGTCCCCAACTAAAGGACCAGTGGGAGCTTTTCTACCTGGCTTTGCTAAGAAGCCCTGACTCAAGAGGAGAATAGCATTCTCAGGGTGCACCTACACTGTAAAATTAATGCAGTTTGACACCACTATAACTGCCATGGCTCAATGCTATGGAATCTGGAGAGTTGTAGTTTGATGAGATACTGAAACTCTTTAGCAAAGAAGGCGAAATATCTTGTAAAACTACAACTCCTCTTGCTTTCTTAGCTCCCCTGCTCTAACTAGACAACGAGAAATATTTGGGCATGATCTATCTTGACTGAAGAGATAGATCAGTGCTAAAACTCTTTGAACATTAAAGGCTGAAGAAGACAGCTTTGCTTTCCTACTTACTGAATAGATCATGGTAGGCTTTGCTATTATAGAGAACAGGCGCTGGAGGTATGCTGGGCAGTGACTGGTCTTTAATTTCCAAGTGGTTGTAAGAGCCTATTTGAATTCCAGTACTGTTAAATATGTTGAAACGTGGAGGTTCTCCTGTGAACATGATATTAAGAAACAGCAATACAACAACACTCATTTTAAAAAGAAGCATTAACATGAAATAGAAAAAATAAAATGGGGACAGTTTAAAGAAAAAAATACGGAATGTATTGTCGAAGGCTTTTATGGCCAGAATCACTGGGTTGTTGTAGGTTTTTTCAGGCTATAGGGCCATGTTCTAGAGGCATGCTCTCCTGATGTTTTGCCTGCATCTAGGGCAAGCATCCTCAGAGGTAGTGAGGATGCTTGCCATAGATGCAGGCGAAACGTCAGGAGAGAATGCCTCTAGAACATGGCCATATAGCCCGAAAAAACCTACAACAACCCAATACAGAATGTGTTTACAGATACTTTGCATTTAAAATAGAAATCTTAATAACATTATATTTATTTATTTATTTATTTAGTATATTTGTACCCTGTCCTTCTCACCCTTGAGGGGGGACTCAGGGCAGCTTCACAGTAAGCACTCCTTTTCGTGCTAATCATGATCATAAAATACAGTTAAAACAATTCATTTAAAATACATTACATTTGTTTAAAATCATGCCATTTTAAAATCAGTGTCTGTGGTCAGTCCATTGTTATTCGTATCACATTAAATCATATTAAATGTATTCTCAATACAATATGCCTATAGTATTGGGGGAAAATGGCGTTCATAACCTTTTTGAAAAGGAAAAATGATGCCATATCCTTTTGGCAAATGTGAATCTCCATGAACATCTGGAGACCACCTTTTGAAAACCACTATTCAAGAAAAGGCATAACCTTGTTAGAAGTCAGCCCTTTGAAAAATGGATGTTCACAAGAATTCATGTAATGGCACACAGGTAACTCAACAGTTAAACTGATAAACCATGTCTTCAAACTGCCAGGGACAAAGACATGCCACTGCACAAAAAACATATATTTGACTAGCAGAGTTTTTAAAATGTTTCTTTGAAGTTGAAATTGCAGTTGCCCAAAATATACACTCTCCCTTGAAACTTCTGTTCAGAAAGCTGTATGTTCCAAGCAGGATTTATTTCTTCATCAAAGTATTACTTTCCACACATAAAATGTCACTTTGTGTGTAGAAAATGTTTCCTGGAAAACAGCCCTATGGAAATTATGCACGGAATTCTTTTTCAGATTTGAATATATATATATACACAATTTATGAAATATTTCTGAATATTCTTTCAATTTCCAAGTTATTTATATCTTTAAGATAAAGCAACATGCTCCCTAAAGAGACTACAGCTGGATTTTCCAACACTAACTACTGCGTTCTTTGCTAGCCTCAGAAAGGGCCTCAAATGAGCATTCTGCCCCATGGCCGCTCTATGGCCCCATCTATATTGACCACGTAACTCAGTTCAAAGCTCAACTCAGTTCAACAAACTCATAGAACCATAGAATTGAATGAGACTACAAGAGACATCCAGTTCAACCCCAAGCCATGCAGGAACACACAACCAAAGCACCCCCAACAGATGGCCATCCCCAAAACCTGAATTTGTTAAAAGTAGCAAATTCATCCTTTCACACAGACTCGGAGTGTTGGCTTCATCAATTGAGTCTATCCATCTGTAAGCTACCAAGTGATAATTTATCCTTAAGATTCTTCATTATTCAAAATAACTACACAAAGACAATTCACTTGCCCATCTTTGAATCTTTATAAAATGTTATTTTACCTGTATTATCCATGGGTGAGGCTGTATAGGCAAAGTTCTTCTTCTTAACGGGCCTTGATTCCCTTAGACCTAAAAAGTTATGCAAAAGGTATCAACATGAATACCTATCTACGGTTTACACTTTCAAGAGTATAGCATGACCTCCCCATTTGTGGTTTTGACTTTGGCATATTTGATTATTCACAGATTTAAGATGTTCTGTCTAGCAATCTCTAGGTTCCACAATGTGACTATATGGTCAATGTTTTCCAGTTATCCTCTAGTATCCTCTCTCTAGGAATTTCTAGGCTCTCTAATGTGATTCTATGGCCAACTTCCTGGGGAAGTTGACTATGGATTGTGCTGGAAGACCTATACAGTGTTCTCAGGTTAAAAAAAAATGTAACAATGCCTTTACTGGGTTGCTGTGAGTTTTTCAGGCTGTATGACCATATTGCAGAAGCATTCTCTCCTGACGTTTTGCCCACATCTATGGCAGGTATCCTCAAAGGTTGTGAGGTCTGTTGGAAACTAGGCAAGTGAGGTTTATATATTTGTGTAATGTCCAGGGTGGGAGAAAGAACTCTTGTCTGTTTGAGGCAAGTGTGAATGTTGCAATTGGCCACCTTGATTAGCATTGAATAGCCTTGCCAGTCCAAATACTGGCTACCAATATTTAAAAAACTCTAAAATCAGTACAGAAAATAAAAAACAACACTCAGAAAACAGGGGTATTCCAGACAAGAGACAAACAATCAGAATCCCAACAAAGGATTCCCCCTGGCAGGAAGCAGCCAGGCTTTGAAGCTACAAAGCTATTCAATGGAAATCAAGCTGGCCAATTACAACTCACATCATCCCTATCTTAGGTCCCATCTACACTGCTATTTTTTTAATACTTATTATCTGCTTTGGACTATATGACAGTGTAGATTCAGGCTCCTTCTACACTGCCATATAATCCAGATTATTAAATCAGATAATCCGCATTATTTGCTTTGAACTGGATTCTATGAGTCTACAGTGCCATATAATCCAGTTCAAAGCAGAGAATCTGGATTTTATATGGCAGTGTAGAAGGGACCTTAGTCTAACATAATTCATGGGATTTCTTGTGAGGATAAAACACCATGAGGTGGCAGATCAAAAATGATACCTTAAAGAAGAGTGAAACTGAAATATCACAAAGTAATAAACAGAAATGTATATATATGTTAGGGGCAAACCAAGAATGGGCAACTCAGAAAGAAGTTCCTGAACTGATTCAGAAGTGGTGTTGGAAGATCAAAAGACAACCTGGCTAAATGGCACGACCTAGAAGAATCCTCCACTTTGTGCGACTGTGGGGCAGAACAAACAACTCCGCATCTGTGTGCTTGTCCACAATGCCCTGCCTCATGCACAGAGGAAGAACTGTTTCGAGATGCAGACAATGCGATCACTGTTGCCCGTTTTTGGTCTAAAATAATTTATCCGCTTGTGTTCCCTCTATTTAATTGGTTTTATACTAATTTGTTTATGCAATGCTTTTGACACGAAATAAAAAAGCTCCTCAAGATGAGTTTGAAGTCGGGGAGAAAGGATGTATTTACATGAGCAATAAGCAGTGTGAATTTTTGTCAAAAAAGATAGGTTCAAACACAAAAGAGCAAATTACCAATTTTCATTTGTGATGTAACTTGGGAATCAGGGTTTTCTACATTAGGAGTGGGCGGAAATGACATTCCAGATGTTTTTGAACAGCAGTTCCCCTAATCTATCAGCATTGGCTAAATTGGCAAGCTTTAGTCCAGCCACTTCTGGATGACCATCTGCTCCAACAGATTTCTGGGTGATACTTTGCTGCAGATTGGCAAGGTTTTCTGGGTTTCAAGGATTCAACAGCAGCATTTATGCATAAATACATACATCAGTTTCTTCCTCCTTTCCTGCTCTAAATTATTTTGCTGAAATGAAAAACGTTTGGGGTAAATGAAAATTTATTTTTGTGTGAAAAGACTGCAAGATCCCAGAGTTCTGGTATTCAACACAGTCGATAAGTTGATGGAAAAAATATTTAAGTTCATCTACAAGTAAATTTATTAATGGGAATAATGCCAGAATCATTACAAAGGAACACAAATTGTTCAAAGGTATGATCCGGGTAGGACAAGCAATAATAACGTGGGGGTGGAAAGATGGAAAAAAATGGATGATGGAAAATTGGAATAGTTATTTGTATGAGCACCGGGACTGTAGCGCAGTTGGCTGGGAGTCAGCTGCATTAGATCACTACTGACCGAAAGGTCATGAGTTCAAAGCCAGCCCGGGTCGGAGTGAGCTTCCAACCATTGTGTAGATCGCTGTCGCCCTTTGCAGCCCGAAAGACAGTTGCATCTATCAAGTAGGAAATTTAGGAACCGCTAATGCTGGAAGGCTAATTTAACTAATTTACGGTGCCATAAAAATCTCCAGCAAGCATGCAAAGAATGAGGAAGTACTCCATCAGCGTCACAAATGGACAGCGAAGCAACAGCCCCCCTGGTGGCCAGAATACCCTCATGAAGCTGAAATGTTAAATGCCCTCTGTGAGTCTGTCTATATATGTTGTGTGTCTATGGCATTGAATGTTTGCCATGTATATGTACACTAGCTGTGCCCTGCCACGCGTTGCTGTGGCCTATAGTAAAACTTATCAAAGTTGAGGTAGATATCTGGACTATTATGAAAGAGAGGTCCCTACCTATTCCTTCCCCTTTTCCTCCCCCTTTCTCTCCTTTCTTCCTTCTCTACCTCTTTCTTTCTTTCACTACTTGGTTTCATCCTTCTCTCTTTCCTTCATTCCCTCCCCCTTTCTTCCTTTGCCTTTCTTCCCTCCCTGTTTGCTTCCTTCTTTCTCTTTTTATTTCCTTTTATTTCACCACCATCATAACAATAACAATAATGCAATGCATTGCCTCTGGGACCTGACACCTCTCCCATTCCCCCAGGGTCTCATAGGAATAATAGCATAATAATAATAATAATAATAATAATAGAAATAACAACCTTTACCCGCCACGTGTTGCTGTGGCCAATCTTCCCTCTTTCTCTCCTTCTTTCCCTCCTTCCTTCCTTCCCTCCCATCTTTCCTTCTCCTCTTCTTTCTCTATCTCTTTCCTTCCTTCCCCCTTTTTCTTTCTTTTCTGCTGTCTCTCTTTTCTTTCCTTCCATCTTTCCTTTTCTTTCCTTTTCTTCTTTCTTCTTTCTCTAACTTTCCTTCCTTCCCCCTTTTTCTTTACCTCCCTTTCTCTTTCTTCCTTCTTTCCTTCCTTCCTGTCTTTCCTAGATTTTGACAGGGCAGGAAGGGGCGGGGTGGGGTTTGGAGGTGGCGTGAAGTAAAAGGAGGTAAGATTGGGGCGGGGGAGTGATGGAGCATGGGGTTGCGTGTGTGTGTGCGGCGGCGGGGGGAGTGATGGAGCGTGGGGTTGCGTGTGTGTGTGGGCGGCGGGGGGAGGGGTGGGGTTGCGTGTGTGTGCGGGGGGTGAGGTTGCGTGTGTGCGTGCGGCGGCGGGGGGAGTGATGGAGCGTGGGGGTGGTGTGTGTGTGCGGCGGCGGGAGTGGGGTTGCGTGTGTGGTGTGCGCGGCGGGGGGAGTGATGGAATGTGGGGTTGTGTGTGTGTGCAGGGGGTGTGTGTGTGCGGGAAGCGGCACGCCGGGGCTTGGAGTGGGCATGGTTTCCGCAGAGGGAACGTTGGCCGGAAGGCCATGTGCGCGCGCCAGGGCCTTCCGGCCAATGCGCATGCTCAGTTGTTTTGCCGTTTTGTGAGTGTGTTGTTGTGTTGTTTTTCATTTTGAGTAGATATGTTTGTACCTTGTGGGTTGTGTTATGGCATGGGAATTTTGGTTAAGTTTCGTTGGGGTTTTTTTGAGTTTTGTTTTTTGCCGTTTTGTGTGTGTGTTGTTGTGTTGTTTTTCATTTTGAGTAGATATGTTTGTACCTTGTGGGTTGTGTTATGGGCATGGGAATTTTGGTTAAGTTTCATTGGGTTTTTTTTGAGTTTTGTTGTTTTGCCGTTTTGTGAGTGTGTTGTTGTGTTGTTTTTCATTTTGAGTAGATATGTTTGTACCTTGTGGGTTGTGTTATGGGCATGGGAATTTTGGTTAAGTTTCGTTGGGGGTTTTTTGAGTTTGTTCTTTTGCCGTTTTGTGAGTGTGTTGTTGTGTTGTTTTTCATTTTGAGTAGATATGTTTGTACCTTGTGGGTTGTGTTATGGGCATGGGAATTTTGGTTAAGTTTCGTTGGGAGATTTTTGAGTTTTGTTGTTTTGCCGTTTTGTGAGTGTGTTGTTGTGTTGTTTTTCATTTTGAGTAGATATGTTTGTACCTTGTGGGTTGTGTTATGGGCATGGGAATTTTGGTTACGTTTCGTTGGGGGTTTTTTGAGTTTTGTTGTTTCTCCGTTGGATGCCCCTAACAAATTTATATATATAGATTGTAATTGAGTCCCCTGCAGGGTGAGAAGGGCAGAATATAAATACTGTAAATAAATAAAGAAAGAAATGATCAGGTTCGATTTCAAATAATAAGTGTAACAAGGCACGATACACAAGAGGATAAAATAGAAAAAACAAAGAATAAATAGATGCCATATATGGAATGGGTTTAAAAGGGTGAAGCCAATACAATCATAATACAGACATTAAGAAAACTGTGTGCGTGGAAAAATATAACAGTATAGAGAAAATATGTGGTCAGAGAGATGGGTGGGCAACATGGATGTTTTATAAAAAAACATTGTATTATTAAAAAAATCATTAAATGTCAATATTTTAAAAGGATTTACCGTATATACCTAAGTATAAGCCAACCTGAATATAAGCTGAGGCACCTAATTTTACCACAAAAAAACTGGAAAAATATATTGACTCGAGTATAAGTCGAGGGTGGGAAATGCAGCCACTACTGGTAAATTTCAAAATAAAAATAGATACCAATAAAATTACATTAATTGAGGCATCAGGGTGTTAAATGTTTTAAAATATTTACATAAAGCTATAATTTAAAATAAGACTCTTATTCTAATCTTTTTCAGTGTTAATGTGTGTTATTCTAACTTCTTCAATATAAATGTGTTTCCAATAATAGAGTAAAATAATAAATGTATTAAATAATAATAATAGAGTAAAATAATGGGAATGTAATAATAACAGTAATAATAGAGTAGAATATCAAATGTAATAATAATAATAATAATAATAATAATAATAATAATAATAAATGAAGTAAAATAATGAATGTAATAACAGTAATAATAGAGAAAAATAATAAATGTAAGAATAACAATAATAAATAGAGAAAAATAATAAATGTAATAATAAGAACAAATGGAGTAAAATAAGAAATGTAATAAAAATAGAGTAAAATAATGTAAATGTAATAATAAATATAAGAAATAGAGTAAAATAAGAAATGTAATAAAAATAATAATTACAGAATAAAATAATAAATAGCTTTGACTCGAGTATATGCCGAGGGGGGCTTTTTCAGCCTAAAATAGGGATGAAAAACTCAGTTTATACTTGTCTATATACAGTATATAGAATCATAAAATCATAGAGTTGGAAGAGACCTCATGGGCCATCCAGTCCAACCCCCTGCCAAGAAGCAGGAATATTGCATTCAAAGCACCCCTGACAGATGGCCATCTAGCCTCTGTTTAAAAACCTCTAAAGAAGGAGCATCCACCACACTCCAGGGCAGAGAGTTCCACTGCTGAACGGCTCTCACAGTCAGGAATTTCTTCCTCATGTTCAGATGAAGGAAGACATAAGTAAATAGTCCACTGTGAATGAATGTGGAACAAACCACACAACACATGTATAACCATCAAGGTTAGAATACACTGTTATTTTGCAGAACTGTACAAAATAAACTTTTGGAAATGCTAAAACACATTATGCTCCTCTGAATGCATTCATTCTGTGCTTTTTTAACCTGGCTTTAATTGGTGGCTCTCAAAGTTTGAAAAAAGGAAGATAACTGAATTCTGAAGCTTGCCCACTCTTGATATATCTAAAGATGACTGTGTGCATTTCCCCCTCAAATTAGATAAAGAGAACAACACCACTTTACTCACCAGTTTGAGTACTTAGGCTTGTAGGTACATCATGAGGAAATCGATCTATTTCCGATTCTGGTACAGGTATTTTATAGTAACTAAAAGGACTGGTTGAGTGCGATCTATACAGCTCTTTGGCACCGAATGATCTGGAATGTGAAGGCCTTGCCTCATTAGGATTCATTTGATCCAATGTCGGATTTCCATTTTCTGGAGCTGTCCCAGCTGGTGATGATGGCCAAGGAAAACCATAAGGGCCCCCAAAGGCATTACTAGGATTGATACCAGAGACAGAGTTTGACTCTTGTGCCGGAGGGACAACGGGCCCCTTTGTAAACGGGTCATGGGACACCTTCATCCTTCTCTTTTCATTCCACGCCGCAGCGCTGTGTGACGCAGAATGGTTCTCCTGCCTGTCCATTCGGCTGCCATGCGTATGGTAGTTCAGCTCTTCTTGCAGTTTCCTCTCCAAGGTTACTGAGGGATCAACGGCATTTTCACAGCTCTCCACGGGTTCATTCACCGGACAAGCGGCAAACTGGGTCTCATCCACAGTGTTGTTCCCAAGGTGCTGAGAGCTGTGCAGTGAACTGGGAAGATCTGCAAGACAGTTGGCAAAGACTCTTCATCCAAATCAACAATTTTTAGATAGCCATTCCCATAATCCCCTAGCCAGTTTTCACAATCCCTTAGGGCCCTTCCACACAGCCCTATATCCCAGAATATCAAGGCAGAAAATCCCACACTATCTGCTTAGAATTGGGTTATCTGAGTCCACACTCAGATAATGTGGGATTTCCTGCCTTTATATTCTGGGATATAGGGCTGTGTGGAAGGGTCCCCAGTCACTGGAAAATTTGGGAACTGTAGCCAAAAACTGTAACTGAGGGCCCTTCTACACTGACGTATAAAATCCAGATTATCTGCTTTGAACTAGATTATATGGCAGTATAATAATAAAATAATAATAATCTTTATTTATACTCCGCCACCATCTCCCCAATGGGGACTCGGAGCGGCTTACATGAGGCCAGGCCCAAACAACAATTACAATAAAGAAAACGAAGACACAACCAAAAACGCGAACAATAAACAATAACATCATAATTACATAAAACATATGGATACATAACAATATGAGAATTACAATAGACACAGTATAGACTCATATAATCCAGTTCATAGCAGATAATGTGGATTATCTGCTGTGATAATCTGGATTATGTGGCAGTGTGGAAGGGGCCTGACTAAGGTCCATTCTACACTGCCATATTTATTTATTTGTTTGTTTATTTATTTACGCTATTTCTATCCCGCCCATATCAGCCCGAAGGCGACTCAGGGCGGCGTACCGAGTTGGCACAATTCGATGCCATATATAAAATACATACATTGATAAAAAGCAAAAAAGAAACATTACAGTACATTTAAAAACATAAAAACAATGAACAATAAACATTTTTAAAAATGATGTCCTCTCGTTCAAATCCTCATCCGCTCCATCGTCTTTGCCGTTTCTGGGTCATTTTCCGACTCAAGTTTGTCTGTTTATCCTGAGGTTCCGAATGCTTGCTCGAAGAGCCAAGTTTTCACCATATAAAATCCAGATTATCTAATCTGAACTAGATTATATGGCAGTGTAGACTCATATAATCCAGTTCATAGCAGATAATGTGGATTATCTGCTTTGATAATTTGGATTATATGGCAGTGTAGAAGGGGCTTGCCTAGGACCCCTTCGACACTGCCATTTAAAATCCAGATTATCTAATTTGAACTGGATTATATGGCAGTGTAGCCTCATATAATCCAGTTCATACTTTGATAATATGGATTATATGGTAGTGTTGAAGGGGCCTTTGCTAGCAACTATTTGTGAACATGGCTGAGATAATGTGAATTATCTGTTTTGATAATATGGATTATATGGCAGTGTAGAAGGGGCCTAACTTTGTCAGTACAATATTAAATACTGGGAATGCATCCAGTAAAATCCTACTCCTAAGCATGCTCAGGATTGCACTGTATGTATGAGAAATTAATTCAGTTGCCTCCATTTGCAGCAGATTCACTTCTCCGCATGCTCACAAATAGAACTTTTCAACACTGCCATATAATTCATATTATCTATGGAGCCTCTGGTGGCACAGCAGGTTAATCTGCTGAGCTGCTGAACTTGCTGACCAAAAGGTTGGCGGTTTGAATCCAGGGAGCAGGGTGGGCTCCCACTGTTAGTCCCAGCTTCTGCCAACAGCAGTTTGAAAACATGCAAGTATGAGTAGATCAATAGGTACTGCTTCGAGGGGAAGGTAGCAGCACTCCATGCAGTCATACTGGCCACATGAACTTGGAGGCGTCTACGGACACACCGACTCTTAGGCTTAGAAATGGAGATGAGCACCATCCCCAGAGTTGGACATGACTAGACTTAATGTCAAGGGGAAACCTTTATCTTCACCTTATCTGCTATAAATTGGATTATATGAGTCTACAATGCCATATAATCCAGTTCAAAGCAGATAATATGGATATTATATGGCACTGTAGATGGGATCTAAAATGGGAATGATGGGAGTTATATGTAAAGGGTGCTGCACTAGGGAAGCTTGTTCTAAGGGTGGTATTACATCAACTCTGGGTCCTTCTACACTACTATATAATCTAGATTATCAAAGCAAATAAGACACATTATCTGCTTTGAACTGTATTATGGGTCTACACTGCTATATAATCCAGTTCAAAGCAGATAATCTGGATTTTATATGGGAGTGTAGAAGGGGCCAATATTTCACTCTCTCAACTTCATTTGTTCATTCATAATATTGATACGTAGCGTTTTGAAGTCAACACTTGCCAACATTTCCCAACATACAAATAGACAATGTAAAATCCATACAAATTTAAAACCACAAATCATCATGAACTATAACTGAGTGGAAATCAATAATTTTAGGAACTTTTAAATATCAAACAAAAAGGAGATAATGTTAGAAGTTGCAGTTACAATGACAACTACTAAAACACAGTATACTTCTTGAAACAAATTCCAAGATACATCAGGAGTGAGGATGTTTTGGACTTCAACTCCCAGCCAGCATGGACAAAGGTAAGAGAGAATGGGAAATGTAATCCAAAACTATCTGGAGGCCTCAAGGTTCTCCATTTCTGGGATATATAGTATACAAGGGTTCACGCCCTTCCCATCAGAACCTACTGGATGAACGGCATTATAAAATGCTTTATATAAATAAATACCAGTTGGGGGACTGTTACTTGGTGGTTCTGCCACAGCATCTACTTGGAGGGACTGCATCCTTTTAACAACTTCAATTGGTTCAGGATACACTTCCTATACACAAAACAAAATAACAAACAAGCAAAAATTTCAAATAAACAGATATTTTATCATTAAACAACTCAGGGTACCATCCCTCAAGGAAAAAGAAAATCCAATCTATACACATAATAAAAGTGAAAATATGTATGTGTATGGCTGGGATGTCCACGAACACAGATAAGCTCTTGCCTCCACAAACAGTTGTAGCTCCCACTACTCGGGATACACCAATGGCCCTCCCTCCAATGACATTGCAGGTTATAGTGAGTGCCATGAACATGTACAAGAGCCCTGCCAATGTCCTCCACAAACACCATCTTACCCATGACCCAAGTTAAGGCTTTCATACGGGGACAATTTCATCCTAGCTTTTATGTGTATCCTCCATCACAGACATCCCAGTGTTTCTGACTCTCTCAATTGGTGTGGAATTTGCATAGGTTTGCTGTAAGATTTTCAGGCTGTATGGCCATGTTCCAGAAGCATTCTCTCCTGACATTTCGCCTGCATCTATGGCGGGCATCCTCAGAGGTTGTGAGGTCTGAGGCCAACTAAGAATCCTGCTCACTGCCTCTCCCTTAACCCATTCTTATTGTTTTCTATGATACACAGCAAACAAGACGAATTGATCAGCAACTGAACATACTAGAGACATTTGGAGAGAATTCGCCATGATTTATAGGAGTTGTAGGTACACCCCCCCCCCCCGAAATTCTCATGGTGGTTCGCAAAAAGGCCTTACTGGTGGTTCGTAAAAAGGCCTAAACTGTTATGATTATTCATATCATGATCTGATCACCATACTCAATATATCCCATATGCATGGGAGTATTGGGGTAATCTCCAATACCAAGTCCCATAAGCACTTTATTAGAATTATGACTGCCGCACACTGCACACTGCGCTTGCCCTGTAAGCCTTACATATTACCTGTCACATCAGCACTTTTAATCCTGTACCCTTTACTCTGGCCCGGCCCAGTTTTACTGTGTTTTGGTGTATTGTTTATTGCTTGTTGTTTTGTTGTTTTAATATTGCTTTAACTGTTTTTAATTTGCTTTAGGTGTATTGTTATGTTTGTGTATTGAGACCTTGGCCTTTGTAAGCCGCATCGAGTCCTTCGGGAGATGCTAGTGGGTACAAATAAAGTTTAATAATAATAATAATAATAATAATAATAATAATAATAATGATACAAAAGGTTTGCTAGGGTAGACCCTCTTTCACTCAGACTCAGCCCCCCCCGAAACTCAGCCCCCCCAAACCCCCCCTGAAAAAAATTCAGCCCCCCCCCAATCGAAATCCTGGCTACGGGCCAGCTAGGAGGTATAGTTCACGTGCAATCTAAGAACTGCACTCTGAACTCCACCAACAATGGATCTGGAACTAACTTGGCACACAGGACCCCCATGGCCAACAAAAAATAGTTAAGGTCTTTGGAGGGATAAATAGGAGTTGTAGTTCACCTACATTCGCATCGAATCGAGGCCCTCCATGACGCACTTTATTTTAGCACCTTAGAGCGGATTGAGAAAACAATTCGCATCTTAATTATCTATTCCATCTCGCATGACCCATCTGCATTTAAAAACTTCAGGAATACTCTCCCGATAGTCCCTAATACCTACCACTTATGTCATCACCCTTCCCCCGGTACTTGTTAACCTTGCTACTGATTGTTTACGCTGGAGAGTGGGAACGGAGTAGGCCAACGGGATTTGAGCATTATAAAACGGGAATAGGAAACAGATGGAGGACAGGTTTATGGTACCCCGTAACCATAATATGTCAAACAACTAATGATGCATTTCTTGTTGATACGTTGGCTGCTCATTGCGTCATGGAGGAGGGAGGGGGTTCCGTTAACCGGGGAGCCCCCATAGAAGTCGTGGTGGGGAGGGGGAGATACGGGAAAGGGAGACCTCTAATTCGACCTAGGGAACGGGGAACAACTTTAGTAATCCCAAATCGGTCTCCTGATATGGTAAGTCGGTGTAACCAGGATGGCGGTCCCTCCGAATTGAAAGTGGTGCTGTTGAACGCCAGATCTGTCAACGGTAAAACAACTTTCATCCAGGATTTAATCCTGGATGAACGGGCAGATCTGGCGTGCATCACAGAGACCTGGTTGGACGAAGCGGGAGGTGTAAACTTAACCCAGCTTTGCCCACCAGGTTTCTCTGTGCAGCACCAACCGAGATCCGGAGGGCGGGGAGGCGGGGTTGCAGTGGTCTATAGAGATTCCATTCTTCTGACCAGGGCCCCCATCCCGCAGTCAACAAAATTTGAATGCGTCCACCTGAGGGTGGGAGACCGGGACAGATTAGGGATTCTGTTAGTGTACCGTCCACCTCGCTGCACTACAGACTCCCTGACTGAGCTAGCGGGGGTGGTCTCGGACCTGGTGTTGGAGTCCCAACGGCTGCTTGTGCTGGGGGACTTCAATATCCACGCCGAGTCCGCCTCATCGGGAGCGGCTCAGGACTTCATGTCTACCATGGCAACCATGGGGCTGTCCCAACAAGTATCTGGCCCCACCCACAGTGCTGGACATACATTGGACTTGGTTTTCTGTCAGGGATGGGAGGAAGGTGGCGGTGTTGAGGAGTTATCCATCTCTCCGTTGCCATGGACCGACCACCACCTGGTCAGCTTTAGACTCACTGCACCCCCTAACCTCCGCAGAGGTGGAGGACCTATTAAATTGGTCCGCCCCAGGAGGCTTATGGATCCGGATGGATTCCTGACGGCTCTTGGGGAATTTCCCGCCACCTCGGTTGGTGATCCTGTTGATGCCTTGGTCGCTCTCTGGAATGGGGAGATGGCTAGGGCAATAGACACGATCGCTCCAGAACGTCCCCTCTCAAGTAGCCGAGCTAAACCAGCTCCTTGGTTTACCGAGGAGTTGGCAGCGTTGAAGCGAGAAGAGGGAACTAGAGAGCGTGTGGCGTTCGGATCCGAGCGAGCCAAATCGAACACGGTTTGTGTCCTTTTTAAGGGCATATGCCGCGGCAATAAAGGCCGCAAAGAAGACTTTCTTTGCGGCTACTATTGCGTCTGCAAAGAACCGTCCGGCTGAACTGTTCCGAGTTGTCAGAGGCCTTTTAAAACCCACCATCCAGGATGGGTGCCCTGATGACTCGGCAGTTCGCTGTGAAGCCTTTGCTCAGTTCTTTGCAGACAAAGTCGCTTTGATCCGCTCTGGTCTGGACACCATATTAACGGCAGTCTCTGAGGATGTAACACGAGCATCTGCTTGTCCGATTTTGATGGATTCATTTCAATTGGTGAAACCTGAGGATGTGGACAAGATACTTGGAGGAATGAGAGCTACCACATGCATCCTAGACCCCTGCCCATCCTGGCTTCTAAAGGAGGCCAGAGGGGGATTGGCCGAGTGGGTGAAGGTGGTGGTTAATGCCTCCCTTCGGGAGGGCAAAATTCCAGCCAGCTTAAAGCAAGCTGTAATAAAACCGCTGTTGAAGAAACCATCACTGGACCCCACTCAATTCGTCAACTATCGGCCTGTTTCCAATCTCCCCTTTTTGGGCAAAGTCATGGAACGTGTGGTGGCCTCACAACTCCAGGCCTTCTTGGTAGACACGGATTATCTAGATCCGGCACAGTCTGGCTTTAGGCCGGGGCATGGTACCGAGACAGCCTTGGTCGCCTTAGTGGATGATCTGCGTCGGGAGCTCGACAGGGGGAGTGTGTCCCTGTTGGTGCTGCTCGACCTCTCAGCGGCCTTCGATACCGTCGACCACGGTATCCTTCTGGGCCGCCTCGCGGGGATGGGTCTTGGAGGTACTGTTTTGCAGTGGCTCCGCTCATTCCTCGAGGGTCGGTCTCAGAAGGTGTTATGGGAGACTCCTGTTCAACCCCACAACCTTTGTCTTGTGGGGTTCCTCAGGGTTCAATACTGTCTCCCATGTTGTTTAACATCTACATGAAGCCGCTGGGCAAGATCATCCGGAGTTTCGGAGTGCGATGTCATCTGTACGCAGATGATGTTCAACTCTGTCACTCCTTTCCACCTGCTACTAAGGAGGCTGTCGAGGTCCTGAACCGGTGCTTGGCCGCTGTGACGGTCTGGATGGGGGCGAACAAATTGAAATTGAATCCAGACAAGACAGAGGTACTCCTGGTCAGTCGCAAGGCCGAACAGGGTATAGGGTTACAGCCTGTGTTGGATGGGGTCGCACTCCCCCTGAAGACACAGGTTCGCAGCTTGGGGGTGATCCTGGACTCATCGCTGAGCCTGGAACCCCAGGTTTCGGCGGTGACCAGGGGAGCCTTCGCACAGTTAAAACTTGTGCGCCAACTGCGACCGTACCTTGGGAAGCCCGACTTAGCCACGGTAGTCCACGCTCTGGTTACATCCCGCCTTGATTACTGCAACGCTCTCTACGTGGGGTTGCCTTTGAAGACAGTCCGGAAGCTCCAGTTAGTCCAACGGGCGGCAGCCATGTTTTTAACAGGAGCTGATCGCAGGGAGCATACAACTCCCTTGCTGAACCAGCTCCACTGGCTGCCGATATGCTACCGGGCTCAATTCAAGGTGCTGGCGTTGGCCTTTAAAGCCCTAAACGGTTCTGGCCCAACTTATCTATCCGAACGTATCTCAGCCTATCAGCCCACCAGGACCCTAAGATCTTCTGGAGAGTCCCTTCTCTCTATCCCTCCAGCTTCAGAAGTGCGGCTGGCGGGAACGAGAGATAGGGCCTTCTCTGTGGTGGCCCCTCGGCTTTGGAACGCCCTCCCTATAGAGGTACGATCAGCCTCGTCGCTGATGGTGTTTAGGAAGAGACTTAAAACATGGCTATTCAAACAAGCATTCGGCTAATCTGTGGCAATTAAATCGAATCTTGGTGACTATGGACAGGAAATATGGACAACGAACTCTGGATTGTGATTTTAACTTGAGATATATGGGATTATTATTGGTGGCCCAATAATTTGTTATTGTATTTGTATATTTTTTTTAAACTGAGATTGTTTTTAAAATGCTGTAAACCGCAATTGAGTCGCCGTTCTAGGCTGAGAAATTAGCGGTATACAAGTGTACCAAATAAATAAATAAAAATAAATACATCCAGAGCACATTATGTACCCAAACAACAGTGGATCTGGACCAAACTTGGCACACATACCCAATATGCCCAAATTTGAATACTGGTGGGGTTTGAGGGGAATTTGCCTGGACATTTTGGAGTTGTAGGTACTGGAATTTATAGTTCACGTGCAATCAAGTATCATAATTTCGTATAACATCAGGCACATTTTCCTTTTCTGAACCCTAGTTGTTCGATAACTTACTTTTATTTTCCTCACATCATCTTCAACATACTTTTCATAATTCTCTTGGTAAAATGGCTTGTATATTGTATTGATTTCTGTAAGAAAAAGAAAACGAGCAAAGTGTATTTGGTTCTATCAATTCAGCCCTGTGTACTTGCTGCCTATGTCTGTACAATGTATTGTCAAAGGCTTTCGTGGTCAGAATCACTTGGTTGCTGTAAGTTTATTGGGTTGTGTAGCCATGTCCCAGAAGCATTCTCCTCTGACGTTTCACCTGCATCTATGGCAGGCATTCTCAGAGGGCCTTAGACCTCACAACCTCTGAGGATGCCCGCCACAGATGCAGGCGAAACGTCAGGAGAGAATGCTTCTGGAACATGGCCATACAGCCCGAAAAACTTACAGCAACCCTATGTATGTACATCCAAATCCAAAATGTTTTGCATATGTATTTGCTCTCCTTTTGGACTTTCTCAAAAACTGTAGGCCTTTTCCAGTAAACAACCTCTCTCAGTAAGGACAGGTGAAGATTTTGTTCACCCCCTTTTTGATAGAAACTATCCAAAATGGCTATTTTTTTTCCATTAATTCTTTAGGTTTTAAAAATCTGAATGAGGGTAAAAAGTTAAACTAGGCAAAGTGCCTGGGTTTGACTCACTGCATTTTCCATCATGCACTTAACACTGAATTAAGGTGGCCAGCTCTTTTCTTCCATAGGTTACTTATCTTTAGCAGTATCTTTTCAGTAAAGTCATAAATGAGATCTTCCATGGTGGCACAATGGGTTACACGTGCTGCTGAACTGCTGACCTGAAGGTTGGCAGTTCGAGTCCGCAGGACGGGGTGAGCTCCCACTGTTAGCCCTAGCTCCTGCCAAGCTAGCAGTTCAAAAACATGCAAATGTGAGTAGTTCAATATGTACTGCTTTGGCGGGAAAAGGCAAAAAGACAATCCAAGCAATCATGTCAGTCATACAACCAGGAGGTGTCTACACACAATGCAGGCTCCTCAGCTTGGAAATGGAGAACACCTCCCTGGAGATGAACACCATCTCCAGAGCCGGAAATGAAAGGAGAAGCCTTTGCCTTTGTCTGTATATTTGTGTCTCACTGTATTTCATTGTAACAAGTCATTGAATGGTTGCCCGTGTCTGTTTATATGCTGTAATCCACTCTGAGTCCCCTCGGGGAGAAAAACAGAATATTAATAATATTAATAATTATTATAATTATAATTATTAGTCTCCAGACTGGGAATTACTGTACTTTCTTAATTTAGCCAGTGAAACATTTTGTCTGGGTTTTAATAAAACCATATGAAAAGTCACAAAAGGATTAAATACATCTCATGAAGAGAACATGAATTAATAAACAGTGAGCTGAAGAAGTAAAACTGATAGATCCCTTTATTCTGATTACCTGCAAAGGTTGGGCGTTCCTCTGGCTCTTGACTCCAGGATTGTTCCATTAAAGTAATAATTTCCTCTGGGCATTTATTTTTTACTTCTTCCTTAAGTGGCCTCTCCCCGTTCATGATACAAAAGCACACATGCAAGTCATTTACAGCATCTGTAGGGGGTGGTGATAGTGGTATAAATGAACATGGGAAACATGACTTTGATGAGAAACAGCAGGAGTCCATCAGAAAAAAGGAGATTCTTGACTGCGGACACTTACTCTCATAAGGCTCTTTGCAGGCAAAAATGGCCCATAATACAATGCCAAAGCTGTAGACGTCGGACTTCTCCACCGGTATAGTGTTGATATGTCGCAAATGCTCTGGAGCCATATAGAAAAGGGTGCCGGCATTGCTCTGGGAGCTGCACTTGATCTTCCTTTGCCGGCTGGTCTCCTCTTTGGTCAGTCTGCTCCAGTTTTTGAAACAAGCTACACCAAGGTCTGCTATCTGTAAGACAAGTTGGGGAACAGATCTGATGGGAGAAGGAGCTGGAATCCAACTGAAAACATGCAGGATCCTTATGTAAGGCAATGGGAGAAAGTTTTTCCAAAGCGCTAACACAGTCTTCTTTGGACTACAACTCCCAAAATTATCTAGCTAGTTTGGTCACTAGTCATGTTTGATGTTTTTCTTGAGTCACCTTCGAGTTTGAGAAAGGCGGGGTAGAAAATTCGCAAATAAATAAATAATTTTCTAAGTTCTGAAACACAACAGTGAATGTATCCTGAAGTGTTGATTGAGACATTGTATGAGCATTTTGTTAAATGTTTTCGTTGCGATTGTTTCTCCGCTTCCTGCACAAAGAGCTCAAGACAGTTCATATAGTCCTCCTACTTCGTATAACAACAATCCTATGATGTAGTTTAGACTACAAGACATGACAGTGGCCACCAATTACCCATTGAGTGAGCTTAATGGTCATGTGTGAATTTTACTATTCTCCTGAATCTTAAAAGTAAAGGTAAAGGCTTCCCCTTGACATTAATTTTAGTCGTGTCCGACTCTGGGAAGTGGGGCTCATCTCCATTTCTAAGCCGAAAAACTGACACCTCCATGGTCATGTGGCCGGCATGACTGCATGGAGCGCCATTACCTTCCCGCTGGCCCAGTACCTATTTAGCTACTCACATTTGAATGTTTTTGAACTGCTAGGTTGGCAGAAGTTGGGGCTAACAGTGGGAGCTCACCCCGCTCCCCGGATTTGAACCGTCAACCTTTTGGTCAGCAAGTTCAGTAGCTCAGTGCTTTAACTCACTACACCAGCGGGGCTCAATCCTGAATCCTAAATCTTAATACAGTAATAAGACTATGTCTGTCTATGAGTTGTCTAGGAGCCGCAATGGTGCAACAGGTTAAACCCTTGTGCTGCTGAACTGCTGACCTGAAGGCTGGAAGTATGAATCCGCAAGACGGGGTGAGCTCCCGTCTGTCAGCTCCAGTTCCTGCCAATTTGAAAACATGCAAATGTGAGTAGATAAACAGGTACTGCTTCAGCGGGAAAAGGCAAAGACACGCTCTGAGCATTCTTGCCAGCCACACAACCAGGAGGTGGCAACACAGCCTCCTCAGCTAGAAAATGGAACAAGCACCTCTTCAGAGCCAGAAATGAGCGCCGCCGCCACAAGCCGGAAATGAAAGGAGAAGCCTCTGCCTTTGTTTGTCTATGTATGTAAATGTTGTAATCCACTCTGAGTCCCCTAGGAGAGAAGGACAGGATATAAATAAAGTGTATTACTATGTTATGGTGTGTTTGTATTGGAAGATTTAAACCCAGTGCACCAATCTAAACATAAAGGAAAGGTGCATGGTACAACCATTCCTGGCATATTAGATCAGGAACAGAGCTTATCTATCTATCTATCTATCTATCTATCTATCTATCTATCTATCTATCTATCTATCTCTGTTTATTAGTTTGTTTCCTGATTGTTAAATGGTATTATTGACATTGATTGATTATGTATGTAATCCTGTAAGTTGGAATAAACAATATTTTGGACCTTCCAGCCTTCAGGTCATGTTGATTGGCTCCTTTTTAAAAAATCATGCCTGGCATTGGAACAGGCTTGCTTGATTCTAACAGTGGCATCTGGACCTGGAGTCCTCAATAAAAACAGGCAGATTTATCAGAATCCAGGGGTCCTTTCACAGGACATAACTATAGTGCTATAGTATACGTTATCTGTAATATTTAGAATTCTCTGCCAGAGAGATCTAATGCTCTCCAAACTACAAATCCTTCAGTTCCATAGAACACAGTTAAACAGAATATACAGGAAGTCAGAATTACTAGGTATCTCATTCTGTGATAATAATTTTGAATTGTGTAAAGTGCCAAATAATTGCATTGGCTTGCTTACTGAGTTATTGTCTGCTCAACTAACTATATAGCAAGGTGTTTCTCAACCTGATGGTCAGGACCCCTGGGGGGTTGCGAGGGGGTGTAASAGGGATCGCCAAAGACTTTCAGAAAACACAGTATTTTCTGTTGGTCATGGGGGTCCTGTGTGGGAAGTTGGACCCAATTCCATCGTTGGTGGGGTTCAGAATGCTCTTTGATTGTAGGTGAACTATAAATCCCAGCAACTACAACTCCCAGATGTCTACCTCTATTTTCCCCAAACTCCACCAGTGTTCACATTTGCGCATATTGAGTATTCGTCCCAAGTTTGGTCCAGATCCAMCCTTGTTTGAGTCCGCAGTGTTCTTTGGATGTAGGTGACCTACAACTCCCAAACCCAAGGTCAATGCCCACCAAACCCTTCCAGTAATTTATGTTGGTCATGGGGGTTTTGTGTGCCAAGTTTGATTCAATTCCATCATTAGTGGAATTCAGAATGCTTTTTGATTGTAGGTGAACTATACATCCCAGTAACTACAACTCCCAGATGTCTAGCTCTGTTTTCCCCAAACTCCACCAGTGTTCACATTTGTGCATATTGAGTATTCGRCCCAAGTTTGGTCCAGATCCATCCTTGTTTGAGTCCACAGTSTTCTTTGGATGTAGGTGAACTACAACTCCCAAACTCAAGGTCAATGCCCACCAAATCCTTRCAGTATTTTCTGTTGGTCATGGGGGTTTTGTGTGCCAAGTTTGATTCAATTCCATCATTGGTGGAATTCAGAATGCTTTTTGATTGTAGGTGAATTATAAATCCCAGCAACTACAACTCCCAAATTCCAAAATCAATACCCACCAGTATTCAAATTTGGACATATCAGGTATTTGTGCCACATTTGGTCCAGTGAATGAAAATACATCCTGCATATCAGATATATAATGATTCATAACAGTAGCAAAATTACAATTATGAAGTAGCAACAAAATAATGTTATGGTTGGGAGGTCATCACAACATGAGGAACTGTATTAAGGGGTTGCACATTAGGAAGATTGAGAAACACAGATATAACAAATTAAATTGTGAAATTATTTTTTCATCATAAATGCAGAAATCCCACCTAGCTGTCCTGCTCCATCTCACATACTTGATTATATCTCTCCCCACACCCCAACCCAGCTAATAATAGAAATCAACAAGGAGGGGAAAAACAAGCAAAAGCAGCATAATGCAGTGATATATGCTGAAAAAAAGAGGATGGGATTTGCTCACAATTTAGAAAATCTACTTTTTGGGCTACACCCTCTTCTTGCTGCAATGGCCATTATTATTGAAATTATTTAACCCCCCTCCCATTTTTCTATGCCAAGAGGAAAGTACATATTTAATAAACCCAGACACCTTTTGAGTTTAGCAGTAAAAGTGATATACCACCTTTGACAGGTTAAGCCAGAAGCACCGAGCTCACGGTACCTTGATATGAAAGTCTTCATCTACAAGGATGTTTTCTGGTTTGAGGTCCTTGTGTACTAAGCCCTGCTCAGTTAAATAAAGCATCCCTTCAATTATCTCAAAGATGAAGCGTCCTTTCAAGGGCAAAGGAATAGAAGTCTGAAATAGAAAAAAAGAGAAATATGTTTCAAAATACACGGTTTTCCTCATATGGATAATATACAATCAGTAAAAAGAACCTGCTGTTCTTAATATTAAAACGATCCTGAGTAAGGATGCATCTGTACTGTAAAATAACTACATTTTGACATCACTTTAACTGCCATAGCTCAAATACTATAGAATCATGGGAGTTTTACACCGGGAAAGGGGTTGCTTTCTCAGGTCAAAGAGTACTGGAGGCTTATCAAACTACAAATCCCAGGATGTCATAGCACTGAGCCATGGCAGTTAAAGAGAATCTTAAGGATATTATATAAGTACACTTTCAGTAAAGGGAAACATTTCCCCTGACATTAAGTCTAGTTGCTGCTGGCACAAGGGTTTAACCTAGTGTTTCTCAACCTTCCTAATACCCCGACTCTAGGGGTGATGCTTATCTCCATTTCTAAGTCGAAGAAGGTAATGGTGGGAAGGTAATGGTGTCCATAGACACCTCCAAGGCCTTGTAGCCAGCATGACTGCCTGGAGCGCCATTACCTTCCCACCAAAGCGATACCTATTGATCTACTCATATTTGCATGTTTTCAAACCGCAAGAAGCTGGGGCTAACAGCGGGAGCTCACCCCGCTCCCTGGATTCAGTCAGGAAGTTCAACGGTTCAGCGGTTTAACCCGCAGCGCCACCAGGAGATCCAAGCATACTTTTATACAGCATAATTTGTTCAATTTAGTTTCTATAGAAAAGGTAAAGGTTTCCCCCTGACATTAAGTTCCAGTCGTAACCGACTCTGGGGTGTGATGCTCATCTCAATTTCTAAGCCAAAGAGCCGGCGTTGTCCATAGACACCTCCAAGGTCATGTGGCCAGCGTGACTGCATGGAGCACCGTTACCTTCCTGCTGGAGCGGTACCTATTGATCTAGTCACATTTGCATGTTTTCGAACTGCTAGGTTGGCAGAAGCTGGGGCTGACAGTGGAAGCTCACGCCGCTCCCTGGATTCGAACCTGCAACCTTTCGGTCAACAAGCTTAGCAGCTCAGTGGTTTAACCCACTGCGCCACCGGGGGCTCCCAGTTTCTATATATTCCCCCTGATTTCAGTGGTTGCTTAAACTTTCCACATTATTTGAAACTTTGGCTATTGCATGTAGAGGAAATAAATACATACATACATATGGTCTCTCAGTTTTTGGTTTATTATGACTTCAAAATAGAAATTGTATTGCATAATTTGTATTTTAAATTGTATGCTGATGTTTTGACATTATGCCGCTTTGAGTCTCTTGCAGGAGAAATAAAATGGAGTATAAATAAATATAATAGTAATAATAGTAATAATAATAATAATAAATTTTGACCCTTTCGTTTAAGGTTTGCAACATCAGCATTTTCAGTTCCTTATGCAATGTATAGTTGTGAAGAATCTATGTCCCCACAGATGCTTAGAGTTTTGGGTGTATCTATAATATAGAATTAATGCAGCTTAATATCACTTTAACTGCCATGGTATTATAAGTTTTGTTTGGTGAGGTTCCAGCATTATTTGGCAGAGAAGAAAAAAAATATCATAAAACTACAACTCCCATGATTCCACAGCATTGAGCCATGGCAGTTAAAGTGGTGTCGCACTGCATTAATTCTACAGTGCATGCACCTTTTGACTATCAGAAGCTAAAGCCAGTAAGGCATTATGGGATTCATACGGAAAATATATTTGGAGAGACAAAGTCCCTAACATTTGATGTTATTTTGTCTTTGCATTCTAAATACATCCTGATCCATCATTTGGGAATTACATGTCCAAACCATTTTCACTGCAACGCTGAGAATATCAATGGAAACAACCGTCAGACATCCACCAACATAATTTTCTAATTTTTATATGCTATTTCTAAACAACTGGTCAGCTTCTCTGCAAGTAATCAATCACGCTCTCTACTCACTGCCTTGAGTACCGACATCAAGTTTCCTTTGGCTAAGTATTCCATCACAAGGGAGTAGTTCCCATCTTCCAAAATGACGCCCAGAAGCTTGACCACACGGTCATGTTGTAATTTGTGCATAATTCTGCCTTCTTCTAGAAGAGAATTATTACACCTGAAAAAGAGATGCTGGAGAGTTATCATAGTGCATGACAATCAAGAACAGACAAGGACTACAGGATTGTGATCACTCACTTCAAAACCTTGATTTATCCATCTGCACAAGATCAATCCAATACGTGATGGCGGCTAGCAAATGTAATGCTAAATCCAGGTAGTGCCCTCTAGGTGTTCTGGACTACAAGTCCCAGAATCTTCACAGTCGCGTTGAGTCGCCGGCTAGGCTGAGAAACGGCGGTATACAAGTATAGCAAATAAATAAATAAATAAATAGACTGGGAGACTCTGGGAACTATAGTGAAACAGATTTGGAGACCACTGGGCGAATGTTGGCATAATCTGTGATCGAATTAAAAGCTTATTGGTTTGGGGTCTGTCTATATATATATATATATATATAGTATGAGTAAAAATGTGCTTCCTGACATTTTGTGTGAATGAAGTGGGAACAGAGTGGTGGTGGCCATTTTTAATAGGGGCTTAGTAATTGAGGCTCGTGCAATAAAAGCCCTATTAAAAATGGCCACCACTGAAAGATGACACTTATGTAGTAATCTCCTATATAAACTGTAGCTGTTTCTGATTCATGAGTGCCCAAAATGTATCTTTCTTTTCTAGTAAATGCCACTGAGGCTGAAAAAGATGAGAAGGGAGGGCTTCCTTTCTTCCTCTAGTTTGGACAAAGGAGGAGTAGTGGGATGGGAGTGCTGATTCCAAAACCCATTACCTCTTCTCTTCTCACTTCATTCACAATGGATCCTTGTTCTTCTTCATCAACTTTCTAATTGCTATATGCCCCTAAGCTTTACCCTTGACTTATCCATGGGTCATAGCAAATTCCATAATTTTGGCCCGCAACCTGGCTTTTGGCTTATATATGAGATCAACAAATATATGCAATGCTAGGATTGTTACTAATATATTATTTATTTCTATGCCACTCTGAATGACTAGTCACAACGCTACCATTTTCCAAATGTTCAGTGATAGAAGAGTGTCACATCCCAGTTTTATTATTTTGACACAATACTAAAGGCTCTCGCATTCAAAACAGGCTTGATTTTAGAGTGACATTATTGTGTGTGGAGCAGTGGTTCTCGGCCTGTGGGTCCCCAGGTGTTCTGGCCTACAACTCCCAGAATTCCCAGCCAGTTTACCAGCTGTTAGGATTTCTGGGAGTTGAAGGCCCAAATATCTGGGGACCCACAAGCTGAGAACCACTGGTGTGGAGTCTTTGACAATCTAGAGGTTGAGTCAAAGACTCCATGCTCCCATCGTACCTCACTAGGGTCCGGACTGTCTGGAACTGGTTGAAGCTGGGATCCACAAACATCTACAGCAGGCATTGTCAAACCTTGGCCCTTCGGATGTTTTGGACTTCTACTACCAGAAATCCCAGCCAGCTTACCGGTTGTTAGGAAATGTGGGAATTGAAGTCCAAAACACCTGGAGGGTCAAAGTTTGCCCATACCAGATCTAGAGGGTCACAGGATCCCTTGCTCTATTGTTAAGGGTGTTTTGTGTGTGTGTGTGTGTGTGTGTGTGTGTGTGTGTGTGTGTGTGTGTGTGTGTGTCAGGAGTGACTCAAGAAACTGCAAGTCGCTTCTGGTGTTAGCCATCTGCAGGGACGTTGCCCAGGAGACACCTGGATGTTTTACCATTCTGTGGGAGACTTTTCTCATGTCCCTGCATGCAAAGCTAATAACTGGCAGAGTTAATACCCAAGCACATGCAATATAGATAGGTCATCATACAAAATTTTAGCTGCCTGCTGGAATATATTACTGGTGGCTTTCCTTGGTACTGGTGGCCATACGCCCCAACCGCCTTGGGTTGTGAAGAACTCTTATTTCAATTTTCCAGAATAGAGCACTTTCTTAGAGTAAACTGGAACTCTAGCTCCCACAGACCCACCAGCCGTGCCCACATTGAAGTACTGCTGCTAATAACACAATTTAATAAAGCTGTAGGTGATCCTCTGATGTGCGGGTAGGTGAGAGGCACCTAAAGACCAAATCACTGAGGCTCCCCAATGATGAGATGTGGCATATTAGCCCTGTGGCAGAGGCCAACTGGGATACAGTAAGGCCAACACAAGAAGTGATGCAGAGACAGCAGTGAGTTTTTCTATGGCTGCTTATTTGCGACCTCAGGGGAATTTTACTTGTTAAATCCAATATCAATGAATTATTTAATTGAATTAATTTAAATTATTTATTTTCACTACCTGGAAAACAACAGCACAAGAGATCTATTATCTTGTTTGCAGGCTTCTCTAGAACGTTGGCTTTGCCACTGCCAGAAACAAAAAGCTAGGTTGATCTGCCAGGACTCCTCTGGTGTTTTTATGCTGTTTTAATTGGGATGTGGTCTCTTTAATTTGGATGTTGTTTCTTGCTAAGTTCAGAGTTGGCTCCATCACCATCTTGTAGATGATCCTTGTTTTACTACCTCAACTGCAGGTTTGTGTGCTGAATGTAGCAGCAACAACCACTGCCTATTCCTTCTACGTCCATCCTTTTCCTTCCCCTTCGCTGAAGGATAATACTGGGAATGCCATAGACTGGTCTGTCTTCGATTATCCCATTTCCAGTAATTGAGTATGATTCAACTGACAGTCCAATGAGCTTCTGGGTGACACCATGGTATTTTATTGGGCAATAAAATACGATGCTAGCCCTGGTTAAAGGAAACAGCCAGCTGGAGAGGCCATGTCAATCCAAAGTTAAAGGAATTGTTCAAGGTGCTGGGATAGGATTCAACATGGGGTGCATAACTGACATGGAAACCACATGGAAGCCCTCACTGAACGTTAGGGAGAAGCCAATCGGTCAAAGAAGTGCCCAATCCAGCTAGTAATCAACAGAAGCTTATTGGTAAGCATCCCTTGCCTTTCTACAACTTACTCTTTGCGTTGAGGTCCAGTGTATACTGTTTTTAAGATCACAAGTCCATGGCTCTTGTGGGAACATAACGAAATCATTCCAAATCCACCAGCGTCCAGTTGCTCTTTGTGCAAAAGGTCTGCTGAACTCATCTGGATATCAACCAAGGACATGTTTGCAATTCACAAGGCAGTTCACCAGTTCATTGAATGAAAATCCAGGGCCTGCAATATGACACACACACAAGGCGTTATACAAGTCCAGAGTAGTGCAGACAGTACGGTCCCTTATTAATCTGTTGAGAGTAGTTTCAGAGTTTCAGAAAACATAGTTTGAGGCTATAACTCCCAGAATCCTCTAACAAGTACAGTCAAACATGTTGACTGGAAGATTCTGGGAACTGTATCCAAAACAAAAACATTCTTAGGTCTGGATAGCATGCAAGCAACACAAACAATGCAATTCTAGACATGTTGATTCAGAAGTGAATCCCATTGTGCTCTTTGATTGTAGGTGAACTATAAATCACAGCAACTACAATTCCCAAATGACAAAAGCAATCTGCCTGCCAACCTGACCAGTATTGGGTATTTGGCATATCAGGTATTTGGGCCAAATTTGATCCAGTGAATGAAAATACATCCTGCAAATATCAGATATTTACATTACAATTCATAACAGTAGAAAACTGTAGTTATGAAGTAGCAATGAAAATAATTTTATTTATGGTTGGAGGTCACCACAACCTGAGGAACTGTATTAAGGGGCCACGGAATTAGGAAGGTTGAGAACCACTGATCTAAAGGAAAACATTGCTGGCTCATCATGGCAACTAGATGGTGTCCCAAACATTCCATTTCTACCAGCCAGCTATGTTACTGTGTGCCTTTTAAAGTGATTTTCAACTTCTGCCAATCCTATTATGGGGTCATCATCTCCATTATAAAATGAATGCAGCTCGACACCCCTTTAACTGCTTAGGCTCGGTGCTATGGGATGCTGGGATTTGGTGAGGCACCAGCCCTTCTCTTTGGCACAGAAGGCCAAACTACAACTTCCAGGACTCCATGGAAGTAGAAGTGGTGTCACTGCATTCAGCCTACAATGCAAGTGTACCCACTCGATTTCCTTGGCAAGATCTGTTTTTCAGATGGGGTGAAGCAACCCAGGGCCTCCCAACGAAAGCGATCCCTCCAACATTGGTGGGATGTACTAGAACAGTGGTTCTCAACCTTCCTAATCCTGTGACCCCTTAATACAGTCCCTCGTGTTGTGGTGACCCCCCAAACATAACATTATTTTCATTGCTACTTTAGAACTGCAATTTTGATACTTTTATTAATCGTAATGTAAATATCTGATATGCAGGGTGTATTTTCATTCACTGGAAAGAATTTGGCACAAATATCTGATTCACCCAAATTTGAATACTGGTGGGGTTGGGGAGGGGGATTGATTTTGTCATTTGGGAGTTGTAGTTGTTGAATTTTATAGTTCACCTACAATCAAAGAGCACTCTGAACTCCACCAACAATGGAATTGAAGCAAATTTGGCATGACCAACAGAAAATATTGGAAGGGTTTGGTGGGCATTGACCTTGAGTTTTGGAGTTGTAGTTCACCTACATCCAGAGAGCACTGTGGACTCAAACCATCATGGATCTGGACCAAACTTGGCACAAATACTCAATATGCCCAAATGTGAACTCCGGTGGAGTTTGGAGGAAATAGACCTTGACATTTGGGAGTTGTAGTTGCTGAGATTTATAGTTCACCTACAATCACAACAGGAGGAGGGCTTTTGGTGGGAGGATTCACTGGCTGTTTCCTAAAAGGAAGAGAAGGACAGGCAGAGAGATCTTCATCCATCTCTGCCAAAGGGGTTCCTAAGACCCATCTGAAATATGTGTCTTCTGATGGTCTTTGGTGACCCCTCTGAAACTCCCTCTAGACCCCCCAAGGCAGCAGATCACAGGAGCTGTCTTCATAGACCTGTCAGCGGCTTATGATACCGTAAACCACCTCCTGAGAAAAATGTATAATATCACAAAGGACTACCATCTCACCTGCCTCATAGGAAACCTGCTACAAAACAGGAGCTTCTTTGTTGAGTTCCAGGGCCAGAGAAGCAGATGGCAGAAGAAACAGAAGAACGGCCTGCCTCAGGGCAGCGTGCTTGCTCCATCAATGTTCAACATTTACACAAATGACCAGCCACTGCCAGAAGGGACAGAGAGTTTCATCTATGCTGATGATTGTGTCATCACTGCTCAAGAAGGGAGCTTTGAGATGGTTGAACAGAAGCTCTCTGAAGCTCTAGGTACTCTAGGTACTGCCTATTACAGAGAAAAACCTGCTGATTCCTAATCCATCTAAAACACAGGCATGTGCCTTTCACCTTAAGAACAGACAAGCATCCCGAGCTCTGAGGATCACTTGGGAAGGAATCCCACTGGAGCATTGCAGCGCACCCAAATACCTGGGAGTCACTCTGGACCGTGCTCTTACCTACAAGAAGCACTGCCTGAACATCAAGCAAAAAGTGGGTGCTAGAAACAATATCATACGAAAGCTGACTGGCACAACCTGGGGATCACAACCAGACACAGTGAAGACATCTGCCCTTGCGCTATGCTACTCTGCTGCTGAGTATGCATGCCCAGTGTGGAACACATCTCACCACGCTAAAAGAGTGGATGTGGCTCTTAATGAGACATGCCGCATTATCACGGGGTGTCTGCGCCCTACACCACTGGAGAAATTACACCACCTGACATCCGCTGGGAAGTAGCAGCCAATAGTGAAAGGACCAAGGCAGTGACATCTCCAGCCCATCCCTTGTTTAGGTATCAGCCAGCACGTCAACGACTTAAATCAAGAAATAGTTTTCTAAGATCTACAGAGACACTCGCTGGAACACCTCAGCAAGCGAGAGTCCAAAAGTGGCAGGCTCAAACCCAGACCTCAATCAATGGCTGATACCAAATGAGAGACTCCCTCCTGGGCACACAGAAAACTGGGCGACTTGGAAGGTGCTGAACAGACTGCGCTCTGACACCACGAGATGCAGAGCCAACCTCAAGAAATGGGGCTACAAAGTGGAATCCACAACATGCGAGTGTGGAGAAGAGCAAACCACTGACCACCTGCTGCAATGCAACCTGAGCCCTGCCACATGCACAATGGAGGACCTCCTTGCGGCAACACCAGAGGCACTCCAAGTGGCCAGATACTGGTCAAAGGACATTTAATCAACTACCAAGCTTGCAAATTCTGTGTTTTGTCTGTTTGTTTGTGTTAAAAATGTAATACAAATGTCTGGTTGCTGATGACACGATAAATAAATAACTTCTGTCAACCCTATCATGAGGTGCATCATCTTCATCGGCACCACTTTAACTGCTTTGGCTCAATGCTATAGGATCCTGGGATTTGCTGTTCTCTTTGGCAAAGAAGGCCAAACTACAGCACCTCCCAGGACTCCATAGCATTGAGCCATGGCAGCAGAAGTGGTGTCACTGCATTCAGCCTACAATGCAGGTGCACCCACTAGATCAGTGGTTCTCAACTTGTTTTGCCCTTCAACTCCCAGAAATCCTAACAGCTGGTAAAGTGGCTGGGATTTCTGGGAGTTGTAGACCAAAACACCTGGGGACCCACAGGTTGAGAACCACTACACTAGATGTCCTTGGCAAAATCTGTTTTTTGGGTGGGGTTGAAGCAACCCAGGGCCCCCCAATGCAAGTGATGCCTCCAACATTGGAAGGATGTACCAAAAGGGAAGCAGAAACTCCACTTAAGCAACTTAGTTTCATTTTCGAGGGCGCCTCTTCCTCCTCCCTCTCCGTCTGGGCCCTAAACACCAACTCAAGGAGGAAGTCACCCACAACCAACCCAAGACTCTGCTATAGGGTCGCCCTCGGTCTAGTCAGTGAAAGGGGACACTTCCTCGTCGGTCCTTTAAGGGAAGTTGCATTGGAAGCGCACTTTCTCCAGAAATAGGGAGGGGAAGAGGAGAAGAGGGAGCAGCAGCAGCCCCGTTGGGCCCTTTACCTTCTCTTCGCCCTCTTGTCTGCCCTTCGAGGGAAGGCGATCCTACAGATCTCTGATCCCTCTTCCTTCCAAGAAGGAGGCGCGCCTGGATGGCTCCCCTCTTGCTTCCTCTTTCGCGGAAGTTTTCTCGGGGAGGAGTTTAGCCGTGACCAAAGAGCACGCGGGGCATTTCCCAGCCTATCCTCCCGCCCCTTTCAGGCCAACTTTTCCTTTTCCTTTGTTTTTGCTTCCAAAAAAGGCTGGGCTTCAGTGACCCAGACAGGCTGCACACACACTGCAAAAGTAATGTCGCTTGGCATCACTTGAACTACTATGGGATCGAGGGAGTTGTAGTTTTACCAAGTACCAGATCAAAACTGCAACACCCAGGATTTTATACCAAGTGGGGTCAACCTGCAATCATTCTGCAGTGTAGATGCCCCCCCAAATCTTTCAAGGAAGGCCTGTTCACGTCAGTATATATTCAATTTTAATCTATTACATTTGGCCCAACCATTTTAAAACTGTATTGCCGTAGGCTTTCATGGATGGAATCACTAGGTTCTTGTAGGTTTTTTCGGGCTATAGGGCCATGTTCTAGAGGCATTTCTCCTGACGTTTCGCCTGCATCTATGGCAAGCATCCCCAGAGGTACTACCTCTGAGGATGCTTGCCATAGATGCAGGCGAAACGTCAGGAGAAATGCCTCTAGAACATGGCCCTATAGCCCGAAAAAACCTACAAGAACATTTTAAAACTGTTTATATGTCACTATTGATCACTGTTTTGTTATGTGCATCTCCACTGAAGAAATAATGCAGTTTTGGCACCGCTCTGGCCCCTTCTACACACCCCTGGATTCAAGGCTCTGAGCCCAGATTATTTGCTTTGAACTGGATTATATGAGTAAAAATAAAATAGTGAAGGGTAGAGACATCACACTGGCAACAAAGATCCGCATACTTAATAATAATAATAATAATAATAATAATAATAATAATAATAATAAATACTTTATTTGTACCCCGCTACCATCTCCCCATGCGACTTGGTGCGGCTTACATGAGGCCAAGCCCAAAATACATCAAACAACATCAATAACACAACATTAATAAACAATCAATAAAATACAATCAATAAAATACAAATCATATAAATCACATAACAAAACAACTATCAATAGTGACATATAAACAGTTTTAAAATGGCTGGGCCAWATGTAATGGATTAAAATTGAAAATATGCTGAAGTGAACAGGTAAAAATATAACTGGATAGGATTTTTCAAAGAGAAACGAGGGAACAACAATCCATCCTAAGRCAGTGTTAAAGTGCCTTATGAGGGCATATTGCAATGGTATTCCTTGTAGTTGTCCGGATGCCCAACCACCGTCTCCCAAAGCTGTTGGTCTATTCCGAACGCAAGAATGGAAAACGGAATGTTGTTGGGAAGGAAAAGAGATTTAAAGACGGGCTCAAAGCCAACCTTAAATACTCTGGCATTGACACCGAGAACTGGGAAGCCCTGGCCCTTGAGTGCTCCAGCTGGAGGTCKGCTGTGACCAGCAGTGCTGCAGAATTTGAAGGGGCACGAATGGAGGGTGAAAGAGAGAAACATGCCAAGAGGAAGGCGCYTCAAGCCAACCCCGACTGGGACCGCCTTCCAKCTGGAAACCAATGCCATCACTGTGGGAGAAGATGAAGATCAAGAATAGGGCTCCACAGTCACCTATGGACCCTCCGCCAGGATACTACACTTGGAGGACCATCATCCTCGAACTATGAGGGATGACCTAAGTATTCCTTGTCGTAACCTATAGATGCGAGAGCTGGACCATAAGGAAGGCTGAGTGAAGGAAGATAGACGCTTCTGAACTGTGGTGTTGGAGGAAAATTCTGAGAGCGCCTTGGACCGCAGGAAGATCCAACCAGTCCATACTTCAGGAAATAAAATCCGACTGCTCACTGGAGCGAAGGATATTAAAGGCAAAGATGAAATACTTTGGCCACATAATGAGAAGACAGGAAAGCTTGGAGAAGACATGATGCCTGGAAAATGGAAGGAAAAAGGAAGAGGGGCTGACCAAGGGCAAGATGGATGGATGGCATCCTTGAAGTGACTGGCTTGATCTTGAAGGAGCTGGGGGTGGCCACGGCCAACAGGGAGCTCTGACGTGGGCTGGTCCATGAGGTCACAAAGAGTCAGAAATGACAGAACAAACAAACAACAACAAACACTGCCAGGATCAGATCCTGGGGTGTAGGTCTGTGTAGATCCTGCCTTTCACTGCCATGGTTCAATGCGATGGAATCCAGGGATTTATAGTTTTCGCAAAGTCATCTGGTTGAGCCCTGTTTGGTAAAGGCTGAACAGAGGCAAAGACTGATTATGGAATGTTAGGCCCCTTCCACAAAGCTGAATAAAATCCCACATTATCTGCTTTGAATTGAAATATATGGCAGTGTGGACTCAGGGCCCTTCCATACAACCCTATATCCCAGAATACCAAGGCAGAAAATCCCACAATATCTGCTTTGAACTGGGTCATCTGAGTCCACACTCAGATAATGTGGGATTTTCTGCCTTGATATTCTGGGATAAAGGGCTGTGTGAAAGGACCCCCAGTTCAAAGCATATATTGTGGGATTTTCTGCCTTGATATTCTGGCTTATATCTCTATGTGGGAGGGCCCTGTAATACCCCAAAGAAAAGGGCTGTTTAAGAAATGTTAAATACCCCCCAAAGCACCAAATCCTATCTGAGCTATATCCTATTTGTATCCCTTCTTGATCTTTCTCCCCATGTTTATGTTTGCAACAAACCTGTAAATTGGATAAGGCTGAGAGATAGTTATTAGCCAAAGTCAACTTCAAGAGAGGTAAACAAATATCCTAATGTAGTGTTTCTCCAACTGTGCCCCTCCGGGTGTTTTGGACTTCAGCTCCCAGAAATCCCAGCCAGTTTACCAGCTGTTAGGAATTGGGGGATCTGAAGTCCAAAACATCTGGAGGAACACAGTTCGAACAACTCTGCACTAAAGTAATCAGATGCCATCTGACCATGGATACTAAGCAGAATCAATCCTGGTTCATATCTGGATGGCAGACCACCAGAAAATACCAGGGGCTGTCTGCTATATTTTAGAGAAAAGGACTGACAAAACTAGCTCTGGCTATTCTTTGCCTGAGGCCCTTTCTACACTGCCATAAAATCCAAATTATCTGCTTTGAACTGGATCATATGACAGTGTAGATTCATATACTTCAGTTCAAAGAAGATCATGTGGATTATTTGATTTAAAAATCTGGATTATATGGCTGCGTAGAAGGGCCTAAGATAACCCTAAAGCTCACAAAGGTATGACTGCAGTTCCTGCAAATAAATTATTGTCTATTTTGTGAACGGGTGCATCATATTAATAATGCATATTTAAAATAGACAATAATGCATATTTATAATGCATATTTGTAATCTAATCTATATGTATATAAATGCTCTGTTTGTTTTGAGTGACATCATAACTCAAAATCTGCTGGACGAATTGCCACCAAATTTGGCCACAAGACATCTACTAATCCAAGGAATGTCCATCACTCAAAAAAATTTGATTTTGTCATTTGGGAGTTGTAGTTTCTGGGATTTATAGTTAACCTACAATCAAAGAGCATTCTGAACTCCACCAACAATGGAATTGAACCAAGCTTGGCACACAGGACTCCCATGACCAACAGAAAACATTAGAAGGGTTTGGTGGGCATTGACCTTGAGTTTTGGAGCTGTAGTTCTCCTACACCCAGAGAGCACTGTGGACTCAAGCAATGAAGGCTCTAGGCCAAACTTGGCACGGATACTCCATATGCCTAAATATGAACACAGATGGAGTTTGGGGAAAATAGACCTTGACATTTGGGAGTTGTAGTTACTGGGATTTATAGTTCACCTACAATCAAAGATCATTCTGAACCCCACCAATGATAGAACTTCCCACACTGAATCCCCATGACCAACAGAAAATACTGTGTTTTCTGGTGGTCCTTGGTGACCTCTTTGACACCCCCTCATGACCCCCAGGTTGAGAAATACTGCTTTAAAGCCATCCAGTCCAACTCACTTCTCCAGGACAAGAAATCATAATCAAAGCCCTCCTGACAAAGAGCCAGCCAGTCATAGATATAGATAGATAGATAGATAGATAGATAGATAGATAGATAGATAGATAGATAGATAGATAGATAGATGTGATTCACACACACACATGTATGTATATGGCAGACATAGTATCATAGATTTGAAAGGGACCCCTAAAAAGGACAATTATATGTTGCCTGTTCCAGAGTAGGCAAACCAGACAATTTCTACATAAACACTGACAAAGAAACAACAAGAAATACTGTTTATCCACAAGCAGAAAGAGTAACATACATTAGAAACCAGCACTTTCTCATTACTTTATTTTCCAGATCATGACACTGGGCCACAGTAACACATGGCAGGGGTCAGTTAGTATACATACACACACACACGATCACAGAAAATTAATTTGCTTTTACCCAATATTTAATTAATTAATTAATTAATAATAGTAACTTTACTTATAGACCACTCTTTCTCCCCAAGAGGACTTTATTTTCATCTCCTCTAACCAGTTATACTCAATGCATTTACTGGCCAATGTTGTTGTGTGCTTTCACATTATTTCTTATAGCATCTCTAAGTCCAACTTTAATGGGCTTTTCCTGACAAGATTTGTTCAGAAAGGGTTTGAAATTGCTTTTCTCTGAGGCTGAGAGAGTGTGCCTTGCCCCAAATCACTCAGTGGGTTTCCAGGCTGAGGAGGATTTTGAGTCCTGGGCTCCCATATTCCCTCTCCAAGACTGAAGCCATTTCTCAATCTTGGCTGTCAAGGTAGGATAACAGGAAATAATTTCATTCTAACCCATACAAACTAATGGTGCTATAAGTCTATCAGTCTCCAAAATGTCCAAAGACCTTTTGGTAGACAGTTCCAACAGACCAGTGGCTCCCAACCTTTTTTTGACCAGGGGTCAATTGACCAGGGACCATTTGAACAGGGACCACTCTCCAACATTAGTACCAGAGGGGTTGCGAATCAGTTTTTCGTCAACTTTAGATTTGGTTTGGTTATTTGGGGTGCTGATTAAGAAAATTGCATTGGATAGACCACATCAG